ACGGATGACTGCTTTCCTAGCCTGATTAAATATCCGAGTAACTGTGAAAGGCTCATTAAAATAGTATCATTTTAAACAAAATATGACTATAAAATTAATATTTCATAAAAAAGTACTTTGCATTCAACATTTTTTTCTTCAATGAATTCGCGGGTAAGAACTTAGTATTATAAAACACGATGTCATCTCATTTTGTAGAGTAATAGATAACATTATAATATCAAATTATTAAAGTGTCACATACACAGCGAATATATATTCCAGCCTTAAATATCAGTTATTATTATATAGTCTATAAATAGTCCCTATATAATCTATACAAACGCAAACAGTTCATAATACTACATATTCACTGGATTTGAAGCCGTATTCACCGGAGGGTCAGTGCGCGTGCAGCGGCATTATGACGTCACAATCAATACCTAGAACAAAGTTGAAAACAATGGTTGCAACGGCCGGAGCGAGCTGTATATGCTGTATATCTGAGCAGGAAAACTTTTAGGAAAATTTCTCGTAGGATTATTTTCCAAACATTTCGATGTCTTACACACAGCAAAAAGGAAAACACGGAAGTTATAAGTTATAATCTGGACATTTTTAAAAAATTTTCTACGACAGAAGTTCGTTAATGAAAATGGAGTCGTCATGCAGCCTTCAATGTCTTATTCATTCAAATCCTGACTATATAATAAAACAATTATGGACTATTTCGGTATTGAATATGGTTTGTTATTCACCAGAAAAATATCAATATTGACCTCGGCTTCGCCTCGGTCAATATTGATATTTTTCTGGTGAATAACAAACCATATTCACAACCGAAAGAGTCCATAATTGTATAATAATTCAAAGCTAAATCAAGCCAAATGAATACACATATTTTGTCATTTAAAAATCTCTGTATTTCAGCAGAAGAAGCGTGCGTAAACTGTACTTACTTACGTAATCTGTGTAGAGATATTCCTAGAATAGCTTTTTTTTTTTTATTATTTAACATCAGTTGAAGAATTTGTCACTGATTTTTATTAAAGCACTAAATTCAGCTTTGTACATTTGTGTTTAATATTTTTAAAACGTGTTCAGATCTTAGATTATGCTTGGCCATTCTACTCATAATTATTTATTTTTACTAAAAATCAAATATTTATTTTTAATCCACTAAAATTATTTTTTACTGCAGTAAAAATAAAACTCTGGCCGATGCTACTCACAATAAAATATTTTTACTCCAATAAAATTATTTTTACTTCATTAAAATTATTTTTACTTCAGTAAAAATTATTTACTTCCATACTGAAGTAAAAATACAAATACTTTAAACATATTTTATTGAGTAATTCAATAAGGATAGGGCAACAGGCAAAGCCTATGCACACCCTCTCCTTGTATAATAGGTCAGGACACAGACATTGAATAATAATAATAATAATAATAATAATAATTGAATAATAATAATTGAACATGCTAATAAATTTGCTAATAATAAAATATAAAGTTCACAATCAAGTATTATTCATCAGTATTATAAAAAAAAGATGATAACCCCCTAATTGTATACAAATTATTTACATACTGTTCCAGCTTTAACATAAATATTGTAGAAAAAAAATTATATACAAAAATACTTTGTAGCCATCTAACTCACAATAAATTGATTTAACTGCAGAACAAAAATATATAACTGGATATTTCTACTTACAATTAAAAATTTTATCATAAAAAACATCATAATAACAAAGTACTGTATGTTACAAATGAAGCTTGAATCAAGGGCATTCACAAGACATAACAGAGATTCAGAAAATACAAAAGAAGAGTTTTTAAGACAAACAAAACACACCATTAATAAATGTGTACATTTAACAGCCACAAATAATCTCGATGCAAAACTCCGAAAAATAAAAAGGAAATTATTTTAAAAATACTGACACATCTTTAAAATGGACAAAGACTGCGATGCAATTTTTTCTCAGAATTACTTATTATATACCTGTCATATAAACACAATAGGAATCTAGATGATATGCTCTCCTCCTTACTCTTTACATCAGATGTGCAAATAGCTCTTGATTATGGTGGATTTGCAGCTAATTAATTACTTAAAAATTAAAAATCATAAACCTGGTATCACACAATTTAGTCAAGTGATTTGAGGTACGTGGCTGATTTTGTGCCACTTTCTTTGAAACCGCATAATCAGTCCTAACATTATCTAATTGGTTGATTTTTTTTATTTCAGTAAAAATATTAAGTATTTAATTGTTAGTAGAAATGGCCAATGTTATACTTTAACTTTGGTATTATTTTTTTTACTGGAGTAAAATTAATTAATTGTGAGATAGGTAACCACAAAGATAGACTTCAGCAAAGGAGTAAATGATTTTTACTGGGGTAGTACTGTTTTGTTTGTTTGTATGTTGTTTAACGTCCCTCTGGAGAATTTTTCACTCATATGGAGACGCCACCACTTGCCGGTGGAGAGCTGCAAATTTTGTCCTATACTCGGCACTTACGGCCATTGAACAGTGAGGATCTTTTTCGTGCCAGCACCTACTGCGACACGGGACCTCGGTTTATACGGTCTCATCCGAAGGACCGGTCTCCACGTCTCACAGTGGGATTCGAACCCGCGACGTAAGGATCAACTCCTTACTCCGCGACTCTAGAGCAGACGCTCTAACCACTGCGCCACGCGGGCGACCTGGAGTAGTACTGGCCAGTGGTTTTTTTTAAATTTTTTTTTTTTTTTTTGATTATTTTTTTTTTTTACTACAGTACAAATAATTTTATAGAGAAAAATGTAATTATGAGTAGAACGGCCAACCATATACGCGCTTGGACTACATGTCCGCTAATTGGTGAACACACTTATATATGATGTAAGTAAATGCTTGTCGTTTTCAAGACTCAAGTGCGCTCTCCGTTGAAGAGGAAGATCGAGCTGAATTTTGAGTGCGCTAATTTATGTACGTTTACAGTATGCAGTATACAAGGCGCATCGCTACCAATTTTTACCCAAGCTACTTAACTCAATTTCAGGCACCCCACTTCAAGCCAGTATTTTATCAATTTATCAATCACTAACCTACTTCAATAAGACATAGTTCGTTTCTAGAGACATTTTTCTTTTTTAGCAGAAATTTGTGAATTTCTGCTAGAAGGTGAACAGTTGAAAATCTTTTTGCTACGATTATCGGGGTGTTTATTGTTCATATTTTCTTTTTACTAGTTATCTAGCCCTCCAGTAACTAGAAAATCAATAGAAAGTGAAGTCTAAACAATACCCAATTGGACCCGCTGACGTTTCCATTCACTCAGCGATCATATAAACCAACTAGTGACAGAGGAAATTCGAATTATATGAGTAGTATTTACATCTGAATATCTTAAAATGAACCTGCAAATGTCAATGATTATCTCAGTACGGATAATATCCATAATATATTTAGAAAATCTTGAGTTTCATGAAAAGGACAAATGCTTACATAACAAAACCAAACTCTAGGCCAAAATAAAAAATACCTTTGTTTCCCCTAACGCGACCGACCCACTTAAATCATGCCGACTGAAAAGTTTTTTTAATAAGATTATTTAAATATTTTTTTATTGTTTATCAACTTTATAAAATACAATTTTTTTTTATCAGAACGGCGGCTTTTGTTTTACTCTCATTTGGCGCCCACAACATGTGGCCACAGAGGGTTAGTTCGTGTTATTAAACAATGGTGACATATCCATCTTATTATATATCTTTAACTTAATAGAATCCTACATTCTTGAGACATTTCGTGAATGAAATGTACCATGACTAAGGAGTGTTAAGATGGTATTTACAAATGTGTCTTCTAAAATAAACGTACGTAGTAAGCATGGCAAAGCCTGCCCCATGAGCAGATGAGGAGCCCACTTTATGTATACTTATCAATAAATTTCACTGCATTTCATTCGTGTCGATCTAATAAACAGTTCATGTATGATCCTATTTTTATTATAAAGGACCATAGGAGTTGTAAATATGTCTTTAAATAATTATTTCATCTTGATCAATATAATTCAAATGTCGTTTCTTCATTCCTTTTATCTATGGGGTATTAACTTCGTGACTATAACATTAGATATATGGAACTTTAAACATTTTAGATATAGGTTGGTTGAATTAAATATTGTTTATACATGTACACTCTTTCCAAATAGTGTTGAAATCTTTAAGATTGGCTTATGGTACGTCTTCCTGAGACGTATAGTGTATTTTTCTTTAGTTAGGCCCTTTAAAATAGGTTGCTTCTTTGCTTTAAAATACCTTTAAAAATTGTTGGGCCGGTGGAGAGCTCCTAATTTTGACTTCTACTCGGCACTTATGGCCATTGATCATTAAGCATCAGTAAGGGATATTTTTAGTGCCAACATTTACATATATACTGCGACATTGGACCTACGTTTTTTACGGTCGCATTCGACTGACCAGTTTGTAAATACAAGTTTTGTAAAAACACACAATGTATTCGATTTCAATAAATTGCCTGAGATATTTCACAAGTTCAAATGAGTAATATCTGTGAATTATATTACATGTTTCTTCATTTGTATGATATTCGGTTTAAAAATCGGTTTTTTTTTTGTTCTTTATTATTTATAAAGATTTCATTCAACTTGTCATACTGTATTTTTATAACTGTTGTCAGAAAAAAAATAATTTACCTACCTACCTACCCAACTTGAGATTTTAGGGTCGGGTTAGGGGAAACGAAGATATTTTTAATGATAGCCCTAGTATATATTTATGGCTATCAAGAACTTTGCCTGCTTTTCAGCACAGTATACACCGCTATGTACGACCAAAGAGCCTCATCAAGCTATTATTACTTATTGGTGGTCAAGTCGAATGTAACCCTGGCCCAGTAAAGTATCCCTGTGGCATATGCACAAGGGCAGTAAAAACTGGTCAACGTGGTGTTACCTGTGATAATTGTGACAAATGGTATCGCACCTCGTGTATGTCCATGACTACTCCAGAGTATATCCATCTTGTTAACACATCCACAGTGTGGATCTGCAGTGCTTGCAACTCCCCAAACAGCAGCAAGATCTACAATTTCATTTCAGTGGAAGAGAACACATACAACAGCTTCTCAGCCCTTAATTCTGACATACCATACAGTCCGTTTTCTTCCATTGGGAGTCCGTGTGCTACATCATCTCCAGTCCGAGATCATTCACCTCCCAAACAACAGAAACGGAAGTCCCTCACAGTGGTATCACTAAACTTCCAAAGTATAAAAAACAAAGTTCACGAGACTGAGGTACTCATTGATAACTTGGAATCTGACATCATTGTAGGCACAGAGACTTATTGGCTGAATGACAACATCTTCTCAGCAGTGGTTATACCTACAACATACAATGTTTTCCGAAGGGATAGGGCTGACTCCCATGGTGGAATCATCATTGCTGTCAAGAATGACTTGGTGTGTACGCCAGTCTACACCAGTAAAGACCATGAGCTCCTTTGTGTTAGACTTCAGGTAAATAAGAAAAAGTCCATCATCATAGGAGCCTACTACCGCCCACCTAACATTACTTGCGAAAATAATGCATTCCTGGCTGTAGCGGAGATGAGCAAGGTTCGCTCGGATCATCCTAAGTGTGACTTTTGGATGGCAGGTGATTTTAACCATCCAGACATTAACTGGTCTACCCAATCAATCATCTCCCACCAATATCCAAGCAAGATGTCGACAGAATATTTGAACATCCCTGGTGATTGTGGAGTGGAGCAGCTTGTATGCACACCTACACGGGGAGATAAAATCCTAGACTTGTTCTTTACCAGTAACCCATCACTTGTGCAACGACGTAAAGTCATCCCAGGGGTAGGCGACCATGATGCAGTCTTACTTGACTCCTTAATCCAGCCGCTAAGAAGTAAACCGGCCCGTCGTGAAATATATTCATGGGATAAGGCAGATATGACATCTTTGCGAAAGTCATCAACAACTTTGTACAAGACTTTACCACTAGACTTTTCACTTCAGTTGATACTCACTGGGAACTCTCTAGAGACATTACTTGGCATCAGGAACCGACACGTTCCTCATAAGCTCACACGATCCAGGACATCCAACCCTTGGATCAATACAGCTAGCAGGCGTCTAGCGCGCTGGAAACTTCGTGCATTCCACAAAGCCAAGGCAACAAAGAAGCAGCGTGATCAGCAAAGGTACCTGTCTCTTAAGTCAGAATGCCAGCGCACTATTCGTCTTGCTTATCAACAATACGTGAAGGACATCATCACCCCCAGTGCCTAAGAAAATCCCAAGAAATTCTGGTCATTTATTAAAAGCAAAATACAAGAAGTCTCTGGTGTAGCACCATTACGGAATACTGATGGACTCATAACCAGCGACCCACAAGCCTAGGCGAATATACAACGGAGGACACTAGCCAAGCTCCAGACAAAGGTCCCAGCCCATTTCTGACAATGGACAACATAACCATTAATTCACGTGGTGTCTACAAACTATTATGTAATCTACAACCACACAAGGCTACCGGACCAGATGCCATATCAGCACGTTTTCTGAAGGAACTGGCAGAGGAGATTACACCGGCATCGATCTTTTTCTTCCAAATGTCACTTAATAGTGGACGTGTGCCAGATGACTGGAAGATGGCCCATGTCGACCCATCTTTAAGAAAGGCGACAAGAGTACAGCAGCTAACTATCGTCCTGTATCTCTCACGGCAATTTGCTCCAAGACCTTGGAACACATTCTCCACTTTAACATCATGGACCACTTTGAAAGAAACTCTATCCTTACACCAGCACAGCACGGACTTCGTAGTTAGCGATCATGTGAAACTCAACTTATTGCAACAGTACAAGACCTGGCTAGTAGCCTATCGAATGGCAACCAGATTGATGTCATCTTACTGGATTTTGCCAAGGCATTCGATAAGGTACCACACCAACGTCTCCTTCACAAACTGTATTATTATGGGATTCGTGGCTGCACTCTACAATGGATAGAAAGTTTCTTATCAGACAGGAGACAGCGAGTATTGGTTGAAGGGATGTCCTCCAACATAGCAGATGTGAACTCCGGAGTACCTCAATGCACAGTGATGGGTCCCCTATTAATTCTTGCGTACATCAATGACCTCCCGGAGGTGGTAACATCAAATGTTAAATTATTTGCAGACGACTGCCTCATTTACAGGACAATCCAATCAATCAATGACACAGTCCAACTTCAACAGGACTTATGCGCACTTGAGAAATGGGAAAAGGACTGGCAGATGGCTTTTCACCCTCAGAAGTGTACCACCATCCACATTTCTAAGAAACTCCATCCAATTAAAGAATCATACCAACTGCATCACCATACCCTGGAAGATGTCCCAAGTGGTAAATACCTTGGAAGCACAATTAGTAAAGACCTTTCATGGCGCGAGCATATTAACTGCTAAGGCCACAAGAACAATTGGATTTTTAAGAAGGAACCCCAGAAGTTGCCCACAGGCTATCAGAAGCAAGGCATACACAACCCTAGTACGTCCAGTATTGGAGTATGCGTCAGTGGTTTGGGATCCTTACCAACATCATCTAATTCAACACCTAGAAGATGCTCAGCGCCGGACAGCAAGGTTCGCCACTGGTGATTATTCATCAAGGGATCCAGGAAGTGTGTCCACCATGCTATATCAACTCGGCTGGGAACCACTAAAACATCGGAGGGCCCGGAGCAAATTGCCTCTTTAATGTAAATGTCGAAATTTTGATTCATTTACACTTCTTTAAGAGAAGGGGTTAAAAACCTTATGGCTGCGAAATATTTAACCTAAATTAGTGTTGAGGAGGGGTTGTTATAGTTAAATCTACATACTAGTACTCTGATATTGATATTAAAAGATGCTGGATTCCTCATTGACAATATCTATGTAATCTCCCAACAATTCTGGAATTTCGTGAGCGCAAATTGTGCTCCTTTCTTAGCCGACCTGTTTTTATATACCTATGAATATATTGCTGTTGCCTTCAACTCGATATTTAGATATATCGACGACGTTTTATCAATAAACAATAGTTACTTCAATTCATATGTCAACACGATATATCCCAGTGAACTCGAAATAAAAGAACACTTACAGAGTCTGCCACGCCCGTTTCATATTTGGATGTTTTACTGACTATAGACGACGACGGTCAAGTAATTACTAAACTGTATGACAAATAGGATGATTTCAGCTTTTCCGTCGTCAACTTCCTTATTTGTGTAGAAATATTCAAACATCATCTGCAAGTGGTGTTTATGTCTCTCAACTGATGCGATAAAATAGGTTTGGTTTGATTTTAGTAAAACTTCGAACACGGGTAGACAACACCTTAATGCATTATTCAGTGCATCCATTTAACATTCAAGTGCATGTATTCGACATTTAGATGTATGGACATTTTATCAATTAACAATAATTACATGTACTTTCATTTATTTGTCGACTCGATAAAAGGCACCACAGAAACTGCTACACCTATTTTTATATTCGGATATTTACACTATCGACGATAATGGCCAACTTACAACGAAACGTATGACAAACTGGATGACTTCACTTTTTCCATCGTTAATTTTTCTTATTTATGTAGTAATATTCCACCATCACTTGCATATGGTGTTTATGTCTCTCAACTGATGCGATACGCAAGAGCATGCTCTGAGTACGACCAATTTTTAAACTGAGGCCAGCTTCTGACAAATAAGTTGATATTACAAGAATTTCAACAACCCTGTTTAAGGTCAGCTATTCGTTAATTTTACGGTCGATATAATGACCTTTAGGTCTGTAAATACAACCTATCGTTGGGTCGTATTTTACCTATGTCAGGTCACTGCTTTTTCATATACAAAATTTGACTACAAAGTACTCCAAATACCTGATCAATTCAATGCATAGGACTAACGGCGGATGTGACCGGTCAACAGGGGCTGGTTACTCCTCCTAGACACCTGATCCCACCTGTGGTGTTTCCGGGGATCCGTGTGTTAGCCCTGTTCTCGATGTTCACGATTCGTTTTGTTTACTGGATTTATGAAATTGATCAGTTTTCGTTATCTTCACCTTTGTCATTATAAACATTTTTCAAAACTTTATTTAGTTCACAAGATGAAACACTTCCTTTAAATCTTTTCTATGTATAAAATCCCCTACCTCAACCATACATCAGCACTATGAGAGCTGAGCAGCTAAGTTTGTATTTGGAGATCTTTAAAAATACGTTAATAATACATTTACTTCTCAGATAAGCATACACTATAGAAATTCCAGGAAAAGGGATATTCATATTTAACACGGTCATCACGAGAGTAACATATTCAACAGCTTCTTTATATTTTTTGTTATCTATCAGTTTCGTTGTGAAACAATGAGATAGAAGTCTAATTGTAGAAAGATGCCTCTTAACTTAGAATGCATTGACTTAGTCAAATATAAAAAAGCCACCACGATGTGCTTACACAAGAAACACTTCGTTGACTTTCAAAATATGCAATTCGATCTTCTTTATATATAAAATTATAAATTGGTTTGGATGAATATCATTAAATGCTGCTATAGACGTACATTTTTCCGCGTGGGATTAATTTACGATATATACGCGGTCACATTTTCCGCGGAGTCACACTGAACCTTAAATGCATCAAATATATACAATGTGTACATATAATTGTATTCCAAGAAACCTATGTATATTTTTCTATCCGCGAGTTGAACAGAAAATGTAAAATTCCACGGAAAGATGACCCCGTTGAAAACGTACATTCTCAGTGTAACAATACAAAAATATTTTCAAAACTGACTAAAATAATATCAAGTCATCTATTCATGTGTAATTGAAATGTTTTAAGTAAACTGCTGAGTGCTTAATTATCAGTTCCTGTAGTTGCACTTAATTTTAGAGTTCAAAATCGTACAATTAAAGAAATAAACGAACAAATGTACAAATGTGTTTAATTCCAGTAATTTGATTACATAGGATTATTTCATAGTTTCTGGTATCTTTGACAACAGCTGTGTTTCTGTAAGACTCTGCAATCTGTAAAATTAAATTTCTGAGTTAATTAATGCATTTGATTGATATATTAGCATTCATTCTAAAATAGTTCCTAAATTACAGATTTATAAACTATGTCCGAAAATGCTATATGACTTATCTATGATCTCAACTAAATATTCAATATTATTCTATACAGTCTCACCTGTCCGGTGTATTTTGTCTGTTTTCGCTTGTCTTTTTTTATGTAAGACTAAGTTGTATATTCTCTTCCTGTATACTTTGTTTACTCTTACCCTGTTTAGTTTCAGGGGTCAATCTTTTTTCTTGTTTATCATATTCCGGCTATTTTGTATAGTGTTAACTGTACAGTACATGTCTACTCACCTGTCCAGGTATAGTCCAATCTTACCTGTTTATTCTCATTGTGAGTTGTTCGCTGACTATATTAGAGACGTCTTGTGCAGTTATCTGCTTTTGGGCATCACTTTCTTCTCGTTTCTTTTTCATAAACAAGTACACACACTCTCGCTCCATGCAGTTTATTGTTTCATTCTCATTCAATTCTTTCCCTAATAAAACTAAAGATAAAGACATTTTCATAAATTTTTCAATGTTCTCGATTTCACGTAGTTTTTCATGTATGATCTGTGTTTAATTAATTTGAAATCTTGTTAAGATAAATTCAAACATTTTCCAAGAATAAAAGTGTTCTATATATGCAATTCATATGTTTGTTCAGCTCTTGCTGTATTGATAAAATAGAACATTGGTACAAAAAAAGTACATGACAAAATAGCTAAATGGTAAAATTATGCAATTAAATAAATCATAATTTGAAACTCAAAGATTAATGAAACAAAAAATAAGTATAGATTAGAAAATGACTTTAAGTTGTCATATGAGTATATTATCAACCAATATTTGTTTAATTAGGGAAACAGTTTTTGATATTCTTGACATGAATATTATATACTTTTTTGTTTTTAGAATTAATGTTTGAAAGGGATTTAATCTGAAAAATTGAAATAGTTGGATAGGGTAGATCTTAGGATTTTCCATTCTTTTTCTGCTTCATAGAATAAAGTATGATAGTTGCAGTAAGATAAACTAATGTAAAAAAAAAGTTTTAATAATGCGCTAAGTCATTAAATCAAAATAAACCAAGAAGTGCATCGACGACTGAATTTAGTTTTTACATTAATGCATCACTTTTGAAAAGTATCGATCACAAATTTGCACACAAGTACAAGAAATTCAAAAACCCTGAGACACATAGTACGTTTATATCAATCAGGTCTTAGTGGTACATTTGTATACCAGAGACAATAACCTGAAATATTGCTAGTTAATAATAAACAATGCATCCAAACACCACATAATGTGGGGTTTTTTGTATTACAGATGTTTTACCTTTTTCTGTGTTGCTAACAACAGTGCACCTTTTGCACTTCCTGTAGATCCATCTTATTAAGTAGTGTATGTAAATTAAGGCTCCCACAGGCATAGGGATGACTGGAACTCGCTGGAATTCCTTTACCAAGGCGTATCTTTCATAATTCCATTTTTGGTTCCGCTGTGTCTGTACCCGTTGATAAGTATCACTGAATGATTTTTTAAAGAAACAACAATAAACCGACAATTATTCTATATATTGCACCTTTTATTAAAATTTTGTTTCAGAAGCCCATTTGCATTTTTAGGAAACTGATTCTTTAAAGAGAATGGAAGAGTATTACCTGAACATTGCAATCAGAATGTTAAGCAGCATAACGTTAGCGAACAAAAGATAAATCCCCATCATGGCCATCCCTACAAGTCTTCTGTGTTTTACAGCACATCTTGGAAGTATTCCCGAACTATAGACAGCAGGATCAAACGAACATTCGGGTTCCTTAGCTGTGAGTTAAACCATTAATTCATCATTTTCCAAAATATTTTTTATGGTGATAATACTAATATGCTGTGATTTGATTTGTTGGCTTGATTGATTCAACTTGTCTTGAATTGACCAAGAGAAAGTGATCTCTCAAATACAATTGATTGAGGCGGGTGTGACCGGTCGGCGGGGGATGCTCTTTCCTCCATAACACCTGATCCCACCTCTGATGTTTGGGGGTCCGTGTTTGCTCTGCTCCTATTTTGTATTGTTTAATGGACTTTTGAGCTTGAATACTGTTCGTTATCTCCATATATTTCATGCCAAATAAGGTGTGTAAAGAGGTAAATTGGACGGTGAAAAATCCATATTGATTATAAATTATCTAAAATGAACGTTTCTTTCCTCGAAAATAAGCTTTTGAGTCGTACCTTCTAGGTCCTCTAGGAGAAGCTCGCCATATAGATTCCAGTAACCCAGTCTCAGAACATTGGCAATGAGATCCCAGTCAACGTCAGACTCTGGGTATATCACTGAATAGGCGGCTATAGCGTAAGAGACCACAAACACCATCAAGATTATCACGAAGAACATCAAGTCTTTGGCCTGTCCAATTAAAATAATAAATTGAATGCAAAGTCTGTGCAACGAAACGTCACTGAGAGAAAAAGGTATATTTCATCTTAGAAGTATGAGGTCAGATACTTTTATTCTTTAAATCATTCAAGACAGTTGTAGATACATTTGAGAACACATTAAAATTAAATTTACCATTGCAGCAATCATCCACAACTTCGGCCCAAGTTCTTCTATTGCAGAGAACGTTTTCAGAATCCTCATGAAAAAGGCAATTAGACTCATCGCCATAAAAACTCGTCCAAATTCTACGGCAGCGTATGATGGAACGAAGCTTAGAGCCAGGGCTATTATATAGAAACACAGAATTGTGACGTCAAAGTAATTCCATTTGTCCCTAAAGTATACCTGCACAACGGATGGACGTTCTCGGCGATATTTGTGACCAAAAAAAATCTTGTTTTCATCGATTCCATTAAGAAGCTGTCAAAAGAAAAATTGAATAATGAGAAAAATTTCATTACAGACAGTTATTCGAAGTCATATTTTTACATTGTAGAAATGGTCAGGTAGTGTACATTATTTCGTGTATTACTCCGCTCACCTCTCTGATTTGATCCAACATAAGTGTAGCCACCCAACAGTATAGCAATACTGCTCGCCAGTGAAAGTGATCAGAAAAACCAGCCAGCAACGTATAGCTGAACAGAGTCAGAAACAACAAATAGGACGCCTGATAAAATATTACAAAGTCATCAGCGAATTCATAGCAAGAATGTAGCTTTCTTTACATAAGCAATAATGTCAAAAGAAAAAAAAACCATGGATCTGAACAGGTCTAAAACTGAAACGTTTTATTTTACCATTGTATGGGAGAAACGCATAATTGGAGCTGTGTAGAATTCTACAATTCGAGTCCTGACTTTGTTACAGATCGAACTACAGCATGAAGCTTCATTCTGTGTCAAGGAAAAAATAATTATGCAGAGATATTTTTAAGTTTTTCTGTCTTTCTAAAATAAGACAATGTTGCCAAAAAATTGTTCTAGAGATCCTTTATGCTGGGGGGGGGGGGGGACAAACCTTATTGCCGGACTGGTTAGGAGACACGTCAATAAATTTCAGCACAAATGGAAACATCCCAAGGAAAAACACCGAAATTATCATCTGAAATTCGATAAAGATTCACTTTAAATTTCAAATAATCCAGAATTATCTGCAATTTCATGATTAATGTGGTAGAGTTTGCCTATCCATACCCTCAATGAATTGTTTTCTGGAGAAATTCTTCCAAACCATATCTTGTATATGGGTATCTTGCATGCTTCATGTGCCATGAAAGGTCTGTGTTTTAATCGAAAGGCGATCTCCATGCAGGAGAGATTTCGCCAGCGGGGGCGTGGTTTCATGAGGAACCGCTCTGTGTCCTCGGGATTATCCTCAAAAAACTGCTGTAGGACATCACAGGATAGCTTCACAAACTCCCTAAGAGGAAAGACATGCTTAAGGAAGCTCAAATACCCAATAGCAACAAATGGACAAGAAAAACAACATAAAATGTGACTGAATAAAAAGTTACACTCGCTTGTCAAAGTTTAAATGCTTTATTTGACATGTGTGAGAGCAAGACTAACTTTTCATGTTTGAAGAGTTTATCTGCCAGGATTCGGTTTGTAACCTGACAACCTTTTCTCAGCTGACGCAATATTCCTGAAGCAATCAGTGCTGACGGAAGTGGTTCCTGTGAGATTTTATGGTTGATGATAAACACAAGTACATTTTACAACTAATAAGACATCAATATCTATCATATATTGTCAAACTTGGTTATCTCTAACCCAAAGGGACCGAGAAAAACATCAAGATATCTGAGGTTTCGAGAAATCCAGGGTTAAATACTTAAAGAATATGGGGTTGGGACTTCTAAATCACTTCCACATATCCATGGTATTCGAGATATCAGTGTTCGAGATACCGAAGTTCAACTGTAATTTTACAGACAACAAACCTTGCAGTGCTGCCAGAAGAATATGGAAAGATCACGCAAGTTCATCATTAGAAGAGACCACACCATGAGGTAGAAATATGGGTCAACTTGATGATCTGTCAAAGGTAATGTAAAAATTTGGAAATTGCATTTTTATGTGTAATTTTCCCCTTCCCCCTATTGAGAAATAAACATATAGTCTATAGATGATATTACCTCTTATATCCATATTAACATCATATTCCACGAACACGTCCATTGCTAGCATTCGCACAACAAAGCACCGAATGTTTTCAATGGTTGGAATTGTATCCCATCCAAGCTGTAGAATAATTTAATATTGGAGTTTATTCTTAATGTAAAAAAAGTAATAAGGGCATTTTTTTCAAATGCTTATTATCCGATAGTACGTATTTCTTACCTGTCTTCTAAGTTCATCTGGCAGCTAAGAAGTAAAAAAAAAAAAGAGTCCCCAAATACCATCATAATACATCTTATTAAAGAGTTCGAGAAGAAAGCATTCTATGAAATGAAGTTACATTAAACCTTACATATTTTGATGTGTAGAGTTTGTCTTTGTTGTTCAGCTGGAATTTTTCGATGTCAACACATTCCGCGATTAGAAGACGTACAAAATCAACTTTTTCTTCTCGCATCGCTTTTAGCATCAAATCTGTTACAAATGATTCCTACAAACGGACATTACATGGAATTTATTCAGAGACTGTTGAACTGAAACGATATTTTACACAAAACCTAGGCTTCTAATTCAGTGCTCACTGACCTCTAAACACTGTGTTTTCTTGTTGTCGAAGAAAACATGCTCCATTGCTTTTTCGCTGTTATCGAATCCCAAAGCTAGACTCAACTTCTGTTCATCATCTTTAAAAGTATATACATGTATATAAAGCATATAAAGTATGCATCTAGTTCAACATAGCTGTGTTTTGAAAATATGATTAACTTTATAAACCTTTTCTCTTGAATTACTGTTCACTAATGAATTTCCTAGAGAAAATTTAAAAGCTTTTATTACTGTATATCGGTTTGTTTCTGTGTTCAAATATTTCACTATCTGAATCTTTTAAAGGTGTCATTTAAAATGTTTAAATACAGAAATAATCCTTGATCGGATCTCCTACTGGTTATAACCGAGTACTTTGTAATCTAGGCCTAGCTGATAATTTTTCATCCTGATTTGGAGTAATTTATTCCAAAGAAGAATCTGTGATAAAACCTCCTTATTGGCAGGGAAAGGTCAACCTGAAATACACGTACCCGATATACTGCTGAGGAGAACATCCAATATTGTGTGACCCAGTTGACAGCGGTCGTCGTTAAGGTTGACGAAACTCAGATGCTGCCGAGCTGGGTGTGTAAGAATTTCCAGAATTTTTGGTTCTTCAGTTCTATGATCGCAAGAGAAAAATAAAAATCATTCAGTTTTGTTCCTTTTAGAACTTTGGAGAAACCTTTCACATTCCCAAAATTAAAGAACGCAAGGATCAAGTGTCCCATGGACAAGATGCCTTTCCTGGGTCACCATACACTTATTTAAAAAAAAAAAACTTATAAGTATGAATACTCTTATCTTGAAATATACATAAGCCAGAGACTATATGTAATTCTCTTTTATCTTTTCTCTGTACATGTATATATTTACATCTCATATGATAGCCCCCACCTTACACATTGCCAATCTGAAATTTAATCTATATAACACAATAACAATTCTATATTGTTTTTCTATCTTGTTATTCTGTGGGTTATAAATGACTTTGACCTCTTTCGTGTAATCTTATTAAATTACAATGCATGTTAAAATGTTTATTCCGAAGAACTTTTACTTTCAATTATTTTAAAGTGCATCCAAAGTTGAGCTCACACATTAGAATATTTATAGTGATTCAAAAATTTGAAACATAATTGCTGAACAATGCTCTTTAATTACGAGATGAGCAGATTATTTTATAATCTTCACAAAATTATTCTAGGAAGCAAAAGGCATATCAAGCAACGAATTCTTGTAAAATATTATTAATTCCAGTTAAGTGTGTCGTTTTGCATTACGTCACAACCTATGATGACAGCTGCGCTCAAGGTAAATGTTAGACGCCTCCTAACCGCAAGCTTTTATAACTGGAAGTTTCTTCTTATCCCTGACTGGTAGCTGGTGCAACAGACTATTTCCGTGTCAATGTTGATAAAATGAGTTGACCAATCACGCAGCGGGGGCGTGAATTGTTTACGCTGGGTGCATCTGTCGAAAAAGATTGTGACGTAATGCGAAACGGCACACTTAACTGGAATTAATAATATCTTAAATTGTTACATTAAAGAATAGACTTTTATGTAAAAAAAAAAACCAACAAACAAATAAACAAAAAAGATAAAAGAACAAAACCAACAAACAAAAAAGCATGTAACAAAAATTAAGTTACCAACCTTCCCTTTGTAAATGCATTTGCCAAAGTATCAGCAAAGCCTCCTGTTCCCTATAATGAAGTATCATTTCAATGCAGTAAAGTCCTTTAAGGTGAAGAAATATTTGAAGGAACGAAAGTAAGATTACTTAAGTATTCGTTAAAAGTACCCGGAGAACTACGACAGGTCTACGGAGATCGAGAGACCGCTTAACCATACTGAGCGACTGTAAAGGATCCCCGCCCACCACCAGGAGCAAAGAGGGTATCGCCTCAGGACAACCTTTATAAAAGAAATCTTGTTTCAGAAAAAGAAGTTTTTGTATATTGACTCATATGGCCCTAAGAAAGGAGAAATAAGTCAAAATATAGAGCAACAGATAGGTAATCTTACGGGATTTTTGGAGAGCGTATTTTCCTTGCCGTATGTACTCCTCAAACTCTGTTCTGAACCGTGCAGTGGATATAACTGAACTCTCGCCATTCTCATTGACAACTGCACACTTATGTGGAAGAAGAAAGTGAGAACAGAAGGGGTTAAGGTGGTACGCCCCACTGGCCTTGATAGCCTCCCTTGTGCTGTAGGTGGCAGGCCATCGTCCAAAACCCTGGTAAAAAAATCCCAGTTTTACAGTTCAACCTCATTTAACGTTACACTTTCCAAATCATTCAATTTTACACTCCTTTGTAAACCTACATGTTTAATGACCAGATTTTCATTCATCTTGAGGTACTCCCAGGAGGCAATTCCAATCACTGTAGGCCTTTCATTAACATCCTCTTTTTCTACGACTTGACCAATTACTTTGGAGATTTCTGAAGTGGCACCATCTGTCGTGAACCATACACCTGTGTACAAAATTAAGAAATTTCCTCTTTTCATAAAAGATGTAATATCTATTTTAAAAAATTACTAGTACCTTTAATACTTTGTACATGTATACTGTTGCACTTCAAACTTTTTTAATTGGTAAACACTTACCTTTCTCTTTGACGATGTTCTGAAGAGCATTTGTGAGGACTCTTGACTTGCTTGGGTTGTTAATAATTTGAGACCCCTCCCCCGTCACTGAGATAAGAAGGCGTGGTCGTTCTAGTCCCCACTGATCGATGATCAGAGAAGCCACAGTCTTCAGATCGGAATTAGTGCTAAGACGAACATACTAAAGACAATTCAAGAACAGTTCTTAGGTCCGTTTGGTATCATTAATATTTCAAATTCAGGGAATCTCAAATTCAGAGAGAGAGAGAAAAAGAAATAAGATAAAACATAGATAAATAGAGCACATTTTTCATACGTTATCTATAAAGAATAACACATTAAACAATTAACAATACAAAATGAAGGTTTCATGAAAAGCCAAATAAAGAAAAAAAACGATGTCCAATCTAATACGATGTTACAGGTAACAACTTGTAGATTACAAAAATTTCCAAAAATAACCAAGCTTATGTATACTGCAGTAATATATCCTCAGTTCTACCCATTGCGGTACTTCAGTAAAATATCCACAGTTCTTACCATGGCGGCTCGCCTTTCTAATCCACCCTCCGCAAACACTTCCACTTTACCAAAGGCGTCTGTCATCGTGTGCTGGGGCCCTCCACCACAGCTGCGACATGTCGATCTAGGAAAGAAATTATTTATTCATGTTTAACTTTCTTTCTCAAAGAACCCAAGTTAAAGTGACATTTTTACTGATCGTTTATACTTTGTCAGTTGTACATGAAATATATGAAGATAACGAACAGTATTTAAGCTCAAAAGTCCATTTAAACAATATAAATCAGGATCAGAGCAAACACTCTAAAACATCAGAGGTGGGATCAGGTGTCATGGAGGATTGAGCATCCCCTGTCGACCGGTATATAGTTTTCAAACATTCGAAATGATACGGTAAATCTCAGCATTATTAGTACTTAACACATGCACTTGTTTCTGTAATAATTTTTTAACCCATAGTATAATAATTATATTATAGGTTAAATCACAAAGTACTGACACAGTACTGTAAAAAAGGGGTCAAATAATAAACTTCATTATTTTACAAATTTCATTACAGCATGTTGAATTTTTTTTTATAGGGCATTTATGCCAACTTAACTTTTTTATAATGTAATATTAACAATTAAAAAAAATGTGAAAAAATATATTTGTACGTTTTTTTTCATTTCCACCGTCAGGAAACCTTTTTGAATTATCCGAATTTCACTGGGTCCGAATTCATATGACAATCGATGACACGTACGCTGTCTTACGCAGCCGCGTAGTTTGTATACTACAGTGGTTCAGTATTGTGTTTTTCACGTTTAAAATTTTCAGAACGCGTCTTTAATTTGAGTAAGAAAAACTTCATATCACTCTCTTTAGTTTTATCCAGCGTGTTTGTATTTTAATAAAAACAATTTCTGCACTCTTTCATGTAGCGTAGATTTAATTCATGTGTTCTCCGCACGGCTTCAGTTTTGAGGCCTCCAATAGACGGGGTCACATGACCCCGTCAAAAAAATTATGACAGAAACAAGTGCCTGTGGCACTTAGTAAAAAATATATTGTGAGAAAATATTATTCAATTTTTTCGGTTAAATTAAAGAACATGTCTTTCCGGTGAAATTAAGAAACATGTCTTTTCAAACAAGATGCTAGAATGGAAAATTGATTTACATTTGTGTAGAAATTTCTGGATGTAATGGAACTGTGATATTCCGTTGAATCCAGTTTTCAATTTTCTGTAATCAAAAAGAAATAGTTTAACCATTGAAGCCATCAGTAACAAAAACACAAAAGCCAACTGGTTGATATTTCGTGGATCGTTTTGAACATATAACTTACTAGGTTGTCTTTGTTAAGCAGAACATTCTGACTGAGGATATCATTTATCTCCTCCTGATTGGCGTATTGATGATATCCTATGATTTTGATCAACCAATCGGGTCGCTCCATTTGTGCAGGACTAGATTGCAAATTTAATGGCATAAGTTTCTTCCACATCACATGGGCAAGTTCCACCTCTGTTCAAATATTTCGTTATGCTATGTTATTTAGATAAAGGACCATTATATATATTAAAGAGGCAATGATCAAATTTTAAAACTAAAATTTTTGAATTTTTTCTTTGCCAAATGATAGTTGACAGCTTAAGATATCATATCTAAAAAATTAAGTTAAATCTGGTGGTTAATTTGTGGTTAATTTGTTGACCCCCCAGCCCCCTTAAATTAAGATACTGCACATATGAACCAAGATATTTTGGCTTCAATGAAAATCTAACTATATATATATATATATATATATATATATATATATATATATATATATATATATATATATATATATATAGTTTCCTCTTTTATACCTTTTCTACATTTTTTATCTCCCATAAAAGCCTCCGATAAACATAGAATTAGAGCTTGACATTTCATGATTTGATGAAATAATGTTTTGGAGTCTGGAAAGTCGGACGAAAGGCGGACATGACACTGAGATAAGCCATTCCGAAACATCGTCAGACATTGCTCAGCATTCGTCAGGTCAGAGGGATGAAAACTGATGATAATCGTATCGTGTCCTATTCAAATAATTACAATGAAAGTTATCAATTAAAATCATTGAGACTTGTTTGCTATGAATTGTTTTTTTTTTAGTTGTTAGCATAGGTTTCATTCACATAACCAAATTTTAATTAAGCCAATATGATATATTCAAAGCTTTTGAATTCTAATTTAACTGATTATTTTTGTCTGGATTAGCCACATTTTATCGGGTGTCTTAAATCTTCGTTTTCAATAATAACTTAAAAATAGTTTATTGTTTAATCGTTCTTCAGATACCTTGTTGTTCTTCAAGGAGATGCAATAAGAGAACATTCAAAACATCATCGTTTTTGTCATAAGGTATTATGCGCATGCTCCGTATCCACATTGGTACTTCCCTTTCCTTACTTTTTCTTACGTCTATTATGTGAATTACTTTTCCCCTTCGCCTTATCAGTTCACATTCTGAAAATATAAACACTCTTCAAGATATCCAACATTTATGCTTGAAAGTTCTGTGTTATCTATGGATAAAGAACAAAAAAATATGGTAATGTTCTAATAATATACCTATGGAAGTTATTTCGTCACAAAAATAGTCATCAGACATCATGATAAGATACTGGTCAGATGAAATCATTTTTTCTGTTATCATACTCCAGTCTTCTTTTGACATTCTGGAAATGGATCGTGTTTTTCTGGGAAAATGACACATTACAGTCGTGAAAGATGATGTCAGCTTTTGCACATGCTCCATCTTTGGTGCGGCATCCCAACAGCCACTTACGTAAACAATCTTCTTTTTCGAATTCTCTGAGAATATATATATATATATACATATATATATATATATATATATATATATATATATATATATATATATATATATATATATATATATATATATATATACTGAAACATATCTGCATTATATACATATAGTGTATTGTTAATTTTGATGTAATCTGATTATCTATCTCAATTGCATGTAATACCAAAGAGGAAGAAGACGAGCAAGATCATAAAAATTTGCATCTGAAGAAGAAAGGTATATTGTAGAAAGCCTATCATTTGTTGAAGATTTTCGGGGGGGGGGGGGGGGGGAGAGAAACACCTGTTTAAAAGAGAATTGTACGGCGAACCTTTTTTCTTTCTACGATGGATTTGAAAAATAGAAGGATCATCCGGGTCGTCAAAGAAGAGAACATTTTCCTTTTTGATTCCTTTGGAGGCTAGGTCCTTCTTTAAGTCCTGATAGCTGTCTTCCATCATGAAATACGACACCCCATTCTTGCCATCTCCTTCCATCAGACTACTAACATCTGAGATATAACAATGGGACAGGGATACGTTTAAGAGATTTAATGAAAAGTCCAATGGATAATCAAATAAAAGAAAAGCAGCTATATGTGATAAATAAATATGTGTTTCTAGCATAAAAATAAATTAAGCAAACAATGCTTTTACCATTAAAAAAATGTTCAGAGCGCTGAACATAGTCTGCTGAGAGGCAGAATATAACGAGGTCCTCTTTGAACCCTTCCTCAACCTTCGTGTGTTCATTTTTGGATTTCACAGTCACAGGACCCAGCTCCCAGATGGTATGCTTCAGTTTGTTTACCTTCAAATCGTCCGTGGAATGGTGACATAATAACACAGTCTCTATAGGCTTCTGGGAGTCACATACTGGAATCGAAAGATGTAACGGTTACAGTTGATCGAGATCTTGATGTGGCTTAATAACTTATCCTTCATATATGTCTATGTAATTTGATGAAGGCCAAAAAGAATTGTTAAAAGGAGATGTACGATGCAGTCTTCACAAACCAAATTTCAGACAACCACTATTTTTATGCTTGTTCGGCGCCGTTTGAAGTGTATATAGTAAATACATAATGGAGAAGAGTGAGGGGATAATGTAATGTATCTTACGCAAAGATAAACAAAAATGAATTCAGATTTATACAAAATACTGAGAAGTGTACAAACGATTAATATGGATTAAGCTGATAATATGAGAATGTTTCTTACATAAATGAGATAGCCAGGTCGAGACAAATTCCTCTTTTCTCTTGTCACCAGCACAAAAATTCGAAAAAAGTTCACACATTTTCAATCTTCCATTTTCCGAACCTCTACACAATGTGTTTGCTTTGTGTTAGTTTCATTATATCAATGCATTGTAATGAATTTTATCCGCTTAACGGTTGATATTAGATTTAAATGTAGAGCAATACAATATTAAAGGGAATTTTTAACACAATGCACTTAATCTTTGACATTAAAATGATATTGCAACCATGTCAAAGATTAAATGGTATAAATGTACATTATATATATTTATATAGATCTATATGATTTGCAGTTACAGGAGACACATTCCCATTATCGTTTATTTTAATCGTTAAAAAAATCAAAAATTTATGATGCCATTTTACTCACTATAAAAAAAGTGACCTTTGAACTCGTGACCCTTCAGATACTAGTATCGGGGGTCACACTCCGTCGACTGCAATCGATAGAAACACGAATTCAAATGTACTCTAAATGTTATATGCTAAAATATTTTGAATGAGCATACATGCAAGCTAACTCATATAAATAGTTTTCGATAGACGCGATTTTAGCAAGAGTTATTTTTCATTGGTCGCCATATTGGAGGTATTCGAGCCCGAGTTCCTTCATTATTCAACCAATTTAAACTTGTCATACTGTGCAATTGGATAAAGATAACACAATTTTTCTTACGAATTTATGTTAACACAAGCTTCCTTTACTGCGTAATTTTAGTACTTTAAATATTTTTGTCCTTATATTTCTGCCATGCAAGTTTAAAATTGGTAGCTCAAAGAGGAAATTTCGCTAGCTGGACCTCCAAGATGGCGGCCAAGGGAAGTAACTCGCAGGGAAAATACGTCATACGAAAGCGTAGAAAATCAATTTTGTAACGGTAAAATGTCCATACCGTTGAGCATGTTGAGGAAAAGTATATATTTAGTCTTACAAAAATCCCTTGATTCCACATGGAAAATACAGTAAGATCAAGATTATGCGATTGTTGTCTGACAACAAAACCTTAAATTGTAATGAGACACACAGTAGGTTATTTTCATTTTCATTGAAATTTATTTTTAATCTCGAAAAGATGCAAAAATATGGTATGCATTTCTTAATCAACGATTCAAACGCCAGATACTGGGTTTTGTTTGCGAGCTCGAGCTTTGAATCAAAGAATTGGAAGCCGTTTGGTTATTCAAATGGAGCCGGGATTATGAATTTAGAATCGAGTATGTCTCAAAAATATTTCACCATACAGATTTTTTTTATTTAAGTAAATATCCAACCTTTAGATCTTCTTCAAGATCGTCTTCATTACTTCCGAAAATTAACTTAAACCATGCAGGGACGTATATACTAACTAGTATAAACTTAATTCAACATGTTCAAAGAGAGTCATTCTGCGACTTTAAGAAGATAAATTTCTCTGATACCCGATATGAACTTAGAACTGCGATCTGAAAGTCATTTTCAAGCAAATTCTCTAAGTGCCCTATAGACAGATTCTAGCCAGAGTTATTTCCCATTGATCGCCAGAGTGGAGGTCAAAAAGCACAGATTCCTTCATTATTTCAACTAATTTAAACTTGTCATACTTGGCAATGAGGTGAAGATAATACAGTGTTTCTTATGAATATGTAAACAAAAGCTTTCTTTAATTCTTAATTTTAGTATTGTAAAGATGTTTGCCCGTATATTTCTGCCACACCTGTTTAAAATTGGTTGTTCCAAGGGGAAAATTGACTAGTATTTGTCGATTTTTATTTGTGTTTGTTTTTAATTTTATGACCTCAAAACCAATCCTTCCGCGGACGCTAAACATAGAAAAAACTTGGAATGGCCCAAGGCGAAAGCGAGTGGCCCCAATGGAACACCATAATATAAACTTTTCTCTCAAATTTATGAGTATGAATAATATTTATCGAATATAAATCACAAGATTTAGAATATAAATTAAGTTGAAGAATAAGAATATGAATAACGTTCTCGAATACGAATATATAAGTTTTCGAATATGAATGACAATAATAAGTTTTATCAAATATAACACTGAAAAGATCTGTATGATAGCGCCATGTCTTAGACTCTGCCATGCCTTACACGCCATAGTGATACTGTACATTACCTGACGATTTGGCTGAGCTCCACCACATTCGGCAACCTACACCATGTACATGTGGGCTATGATGCTAAGATTTATGATCTCGGCTGTATTTGAAATATCATAGGCGGTTTCAATTTCTTGAACAAATGGCTTACAAGCATTTTCAGGCGTTTCCTCCCCATTTGCAGTCAAAGGCTCCATTGGCGAATTTAGAGGGGGCCCAATGGGGCTCGCCCCCCCCCCTTTTGTGTCCCAAATATACATAAGATTTACTAAATCATTTTTTTTTATGTGGCCGTGGGTCCCTACCCCGACCCCAAACTGGTCGCCCCCCCCCTTTTCAAGATTCCTGGATCCGCCACTGAAAGCATCTCCGAAACATATCTCATATTTTCCACTCCTGCTTATATGAGCCCCTGTCTTGCTTTGTTTTCCCTGTCTTGCACACAGTATACAAACATAACCTTTTACTGTTGAAAACACAGGTACTTGTGGACATGATCCCCCACCCCCCGAATATACCCCTCAGGTTCAAAAAATATTTTTATGTCTTTTTTCATAAATTATTCTTCTAGTACACATTTACAATGTATTCCATATGAAAAATCCAAAAAATAACGCAGAATTAACGTTTTACTAAACAAATCATACTCTATTTTATAATACCGCGGGTATGATTTTTTTTAGTAAAACGTTAATTCTGCGTTATTTTTTGGATTTTTCATATAAAATACATTGTAAATGTGCACTAGAAGAATAATTTATGAAAAAAAGACATAAAAATATTTTTTGAACCCGGGGTATATTTGGGGGGGGGGGGTCTTGTCCCACAAGTACCTGTGGTTGAAAATGTTCATTGAAAGACCCCCCCTCCCAATTTTAGCTGCCGTATAGTCAAGTCAGGGCAATGTATTAATAAAATTTGGTTGATAAAAAAAGTTGGACCCTTCCCCAATAGGATTTTCAAGTTTGGACACTTTTTTAAATCAGGTAAGTTGTCCTTTTTTCTGGCGGCCCCCTTAAAAAACGATACTGCGTGTCTGTTATAACAAAGGTATCAACATACACTAAAATTCCTGGATTCGTGCATGAATCTAGTGAAATATGGGGTCATAATTAATTTTCTAGCATGTATACTAAATGTTTTCAACTTATCTTTTTATTTGGTAGGTTAGTAAAGTTTTGCATTTCATGATACTAATAAAATCATAAAAAATAATATATAAATAAATAATATAATCATAAAAAGCATAAAAGCTTTAAAAGAAGAAAATTATGCTATATTTTTGCACAGAACATATATCATATATCATGTGTATACATGTTTGCATTTTTCTATTTCATATAGGTATGCATAAATATTTAGAATTATTCACATGCAACCACACAAAAGGTTCTTTAGTCATTTGCAATATTTTAAAATTAAAAATTTCACTACATTATTTTTCTAACAACACATCCAGCTTCTTCATGAACTAGCTGTGTAAACAAATTTTACCAGGTTTCCTATTAGTTCACATTAGTTCATTTGAAAAAAATCTATGTACAAACTATCCAAGGATAAATGCACTCTTGTGTGTTGGAGGTATGTACAGTGTTCTTTCCGGTTAGGTGTCAAAACCTGAATCGTTGATTACGTCAACCGTAAAAATCAATTTAAACATGTAACGTTGTGAGAATGCAGAATCCTTCAGTCGATAAAGAACACGTAAGTGATAGATATTTAATGTCATGTCATATCAAAAGTAGGTTTAGTTGTATATGTCAATTTGTTATGAAAAACAACTGCAAATTTCGTTAACCAGGCCAGCAATGTGGACATGTGTGTGTATACACCGTGTTTACATGTGTATTAATGAGCATTAGCCCGAATTTGTCTAGTCACGAACAAAAGAAGCTTTTAACCACTAAAAAAATCTGCCGATTTTCGCATTTTTTGTTTTTAGAAAAAATATTGTATAGATTTATACAAATTAATGCTAGGCAGAACACTTATTGTTAACAGGTCCGGCACAATCTCCTGATTAAGCTATATAGCTTGATTTAGCTATATAGCTTTATTAAGCTATTCAGAATAGCTTGATTTAGCTATTTTATCACACTTTTTTCTCAAATGTGTTATTTTCCAAGTATGTACAAAAAGTCGCACCTTGGTGCAGTGATGATATTCAACCTTGAACTCTTATGAAAATAATGCATGTAAAAATCACTCATCAAATTGCATCTCCTTAAGAGACTTTGTACTCAAAGTTCTAAAAGTTTTGGGGGCTATATAAAGCAATTGATACAGTTACCTCTTCAGTGAAATTATAAAGGAGGCCAATTATGTTCAACAAGATAATTGATTGGTAATAATTCAGTACAATGAGAAGCAATCATACTTATCCATGCCTCAACTCACAGAAGGTAGTGTACAGTTACCCAAACAATGGAAATTCATCTTTTGCTTAAAAGTATTCAAATGCTGCAATGTTAGAACTATCTTTGATTTGGGTTGTTGATTTGATAACCCATATTACATAAATGAATAGTCAAATACTTGCGACTTTTTGTCTATTTTGTACAAATAACATTTTTGTGAAAACCTGCATATAAATAGCTTTATCAAGCTATTTTGAATAGCTTAATAAAGCTATATAGCTATTTCAAGCTATAAAGCTTAATCAAGAGATTGTGCCAGACCTGGTTAATGCATTGATACTGAGATCACTAACAGAAATCTAGAAAATTCTAACCTGTGCTGTTTAAAAATAAGACATATTGATCGAATTAGCTAAGCCAAAAGTTTCAGGCAATGGCATCTATCTGTTTGCTTTATGTTGTGTTTATACATATATATTTCATGAAACAAAATTTAATTGGCAGATGACACAGGTCACTATGGTGTAGATTCTGAAATCTATACAAATATTCACAAACAAAGATTTACCCTTTACTTGATGCACAAATATAGCTTTGACAATATGTACATTGTAAATTAATCAGTTGTCAACTTATCAACCTATATATATAAACGATAACAAATGACATTGTTTAGGGGTTTTCTGTAATAATTCTATAAAAAAGCTTTTATTCAACTTACTTGAAATCAGAAATTCTGACTAGCAGTAGTGGAGAATAATACATAAAACTGGCATATTCAGGTATGCTGAGTACATTCAACTAATAATTTAAACATTATGACATACCTGGTTCTTTAAAAAAAGAAAAAAAAGTAATTTTCATTTCCTAAAATATAAATCTAATACCAGAAAAAGCTACGAATGAATTACCGTACAAATTGCCATTTTTGTATACCAAAATCTTTGCTGAATTTGAAAACTTAACATGATACATGTATATCTTTTTGTCAGAGATGGTACTTTGCCTTTAGTTATCAAGCATATCCTTTGGTAAATCAAACAGACTCAAGATCATGACACAATTTAGACATTAGTCAAAATATATTTTCTGTGTTAAAATAGTGTCAAAGAAGTCAAAGAATCCAAAAAAAAAAAATTCTATTCAATACTGCATTTGTGTTTTTATTTACAAATTTTGAGTTTCGGTTTACAGTTGATAAGCATCTTACAGATGAAATTTTGATTTTAATCCTAGTCTGTTTCATAATCCCAGAGCCTGAATTCAAATGCATCCTGCATCAGTAAATAGGACAGATGGTGGTTACCTTTAATATTGCTTACTTTTCTTTTAGAAAGTAGAGTTGAAAATGGCCTCACGACATCACATGGTAAATTATGTTAATAGTTCTTGTTTGGACTAGAAAGAGCTTACTTTGTTAAAGTTGTGCATGACTTTAAATTGATTAACATCAAGCACTGATTTTCAGAAATATTACACTTGAAACTAAAATATTACACAACATTTTTTCAAATATACTTAATATGAAATGATAACCACTCTTTCATCAGTTAGAAAATATTGTGGCATCAGTGAGAAGAGAATGCAACATTATGTGTATATAATATGCTACATCACATTAAGCAAGTCTCTCAAGCTCAACAATAAGTAATTTGACTTTTTTAATGTCTTCTGAAAAACATTTCAGTTTCTGTAAGTGATAGGTTTGTTAATTATATTGCATCACAACTTTACTAAATACTAATTACTAAAACCAAAATTCATTCACAATCAAACATATTTCATCTGTGCATGTATTAAAATCCACTGATTTGTATATATACTTTGACAGGACTGATTTCTACCAATTCTGTAGCAATGGTAAGCATGTGTTCTGTTACTGTTGCCTTGTATTATATAAAGAAATGCATATGTAAATTAAAGCATGCCTTGGTTACATGTATGCATATTACTATCAATGTGCATGGTCAGGAATAGGTTCTAATAATGCTTTAGGAAGATGGAGTTGGTTAATAAATGTGACACACACACAAAAAAAAAAAAAAAAAAAAAAAAAAAAAAAAAATGAGCCGTCTTAAATATCCTACATTAACATTAAGAGGTTAATTTATTCTTGACAACAGAGTTTAATACCTGTCTTAAAACAGGGATACAAAAATATATGATTAGAATTTTAAAAGTATTTATGAAATATTGCCATTATGTAAATTTCATAGTTTTAGTGTTTTTGGATATTTTTGGATTTTACATCCAGAGTAGCATTTGTCAGTGCATAAGATTAATGCATATATATAACTGTTTATGAAGCATAATATACTAATTAAACATAATTATCCTTTAAAGAAAAAATATGTATTGAGTCTTTAATTGTAGAGAAACTTTCCCCTTTCTGAGATGAAAAGGGAAAAAAATGTAATTAGATTCAGAAGTATACAATCCTGACACTACTGTATTAAAAAGTGAATATTTTCATTAAAGTTTAAAAAGACTCAAAGAATGAGTTCAGAACTACATCAGCTCATTTGTTAGTGACCAATTTAATTAAAACATAAGGGTTAATTAAACAGAATCAGCTGATATACCAAAAGTCAACCAAAATATATATCCGTAATACCAAGCCTTGTAATCACACAGCTTCATAGAAAAGACTAAAGCCCATTAAAGTTGCCACTTACAGCTTTGCTATTTATATCTTACACTTTCCACATATAAATGAATTTTTTAAACATTTTATGTAAATGAGGCAGTTGACACCTTGATCATGTTTATAGACTTCAAAGAATTGGTTTATGATTGCCAGTTTGTTTGTCTGTCTACCCTTCACCTTAGTCATAACTTTTGAACAATGCTATACATCTTATGTTTGGTGTTGGTCAATCAATGTCATGATCAACCACAGGACTTGGCATAATGCCAGGGACATTGTGTCTTGTTGAGTTCATCATGTTCATCCTAATATCTTAATTCCAGATCTTAAAGACTTAATATTCTAAGAGTCTCTATGATATAAAGTTGAACTTTGGTATCTCAGACACTGATATCTCGAATACCTTGGATATGTGGTAGTGATTTGGAAGTCCCAACCTCTTATTCTTTAAGTATTTTACCCTGGATATCTTGAATCCTCAGATATCTCTCAGTTTTTTCTTAGTTTCCATTGAGTTCGAGATAACGAGGTTTGATGGTACATTACAGTATCTTGATATCAAATTTTGTATTGACACAAACAGAGATTACAGAGCTTGGCAGTGTTATATTGTTGCTGATTTTTTTCAATCAATATTTCAATTTGCAGCTGATAAAAAGCAAAATATCAAAGGTAGCTTTGAGAGAATTTTATTATGAATTATTTATGATACAAGGTAAATTGGATTCCCAAATGAAAAAAGGAGTGTGGGATTTTATTAAATTTTGTCCTTATTTGAGTTATTTCACATACAGGGCACTTAGAATGTTATTAACATACATTGTGACAATGAATTTAGAAGGTTCTGTTTATACATTGTTGATTGTTTTGACAGATACAGCTAGTGGTAGAAGATTCTGGGGACATGATGATGTCAATGCCCCCCGCCAAGGCGGCCACACTGTCTTATACAGAGGTGGAGGCCCAACTGAGGACAAATATCGACACAGGATTGAGTAAGGCAGAGGCCAGTAGGAGGCAGGCATTCTATGGGACCAATGATTTCCAGATCACCACTGAGGAGCCACTCTGGAAGAAATACCTCGGTCAGGTAAATTGTTATGAACAGTGGAAGTGCGATACTGTATACAGGGTTATTTTCACACCATCTTATTTTTGCCAATTTACACTTGCAAGCAATTTTACCCTGTTTTGAATTCGTTCAAACACAAACCTCTGTTTAAGAGATAATACCGTTTTCTTCTAATTCACCCTGTTTTAAATTCACCCAATTGCGACTAGGGTAAAAGGAGTGAAAATAAAATGGGGGTGAAAATTTCCCTGTATACAATAATCAAGTAAATTTAAATATACAATGGAAGTACCTTAATCAGGTACATTTTTATGAATAGTAAATGCAAGATCTCTCTCAAGGGTTGTATGTTTCTTTTGATTTACTGATTTGAAAATTTATTAACTCTTACCATATCATCTGGTATTAAAAAAAATAAGAAATAGGTGATATCTAGTTATTTATAAATAAGTTTTTACATGTATATTTCAGTTCAAGGATTAGTGCTAGGTTATTCATTTTTTTACACTTGTATTTCAGTTCAAGGATCCAATGATTTTGTTGCTGTTGGCCTCTGCATTTGTCAGCATTTTAATGAAACAGTTTGATGATGCAGTTAGCATCACTGTGGTAAGGGAGCAGTCATTAATTCAAATATAAAAGAAGGTGCTCGTCTTGTTTCTTTTGATGATGCAGTAAGCATCGCTCTGCTAAGAAAATAGTCTTCAACTCAAACATAGAAAGTGGTCCTTGCATTATTTGTTTCAATGATCCAGTTACATGTAGCATTACTGTAGTAAGGGAGCAGTGATTAACTCAAATGTAGAAGGTGCTCTCCTGTCTTGTTTGTTTTGATGATGCAGTTTGCATCACTATAAGGGAGCAGTCATTAGTTCAAACATAGAATGTGGTCACTTGTTTTCATTCATGGTGTTGAAGGCAAGATCTGTGATAGTGATCAAATATTTTTGTAGCATGTTTTTGAATCTTTTACTCAAATTGTACTAAAGTTTTTTTGCGTTACAAGCTGAAGTTGTTCATTCAAACATACTTCAGGTTAAAAAAGGGGCATCTCTTCCTCTTTTCATATAACTAAATATCAAAGAAAATTATTTCTAGCAGAATTGTGAGACAGAAAATTGATAATAACCTTGGTCACTATTTGGAAAGTTATGCAGAAATAAAGTATATACACATGTAATTTACTTTTTTTCAGGCAATCATAATTGTGGTCACAGTTGCATTTGTGCAGGTAAGAAAAAAAATCTATGAAAGCACAGAATGATTTTTTTTTTTTGCTGTTATTTATGCAAAGTTTATTAAATGTTGCAACATGAGCTTTAATACCTAACTTCCACAACCGGGATTGAAACCTGGAGGAGTGGAAAATTGTAATAATGTTCAGTTGTGATAATGTAGGTCTTATGACAAGCACTCCTTGGCTTATATTTAGTGTTGAAATTAATGGTAGACTGATAGATAAAATCTATAGAAAGTGTGTCCAGTCTTCCCTGACAAATATTTTATGACCGATTTTTCTATGAACTGAATGCAGCCATCAAATCAGTGAAATGTATTTAATACTTCTCACATGAGTAAGAAAAGTGACTAAACCAGATTGTGTTTGATTATGACTGTGTCCATGTGATTGCTTCATGTGAATGTAAGGGGCATTTTGTCACTTTTGATAAAATGGTTATTAAAATTGTCTATACATGTAGTACTGAGAAGTTAGTTTCACACAGAATATTCATCCAATTTTTCAATGAGTGTCTTTGGCTAATGGCATTTGCCTTTGTAATAAAAAATATAGGAATGTAAACCCTAAAGCAGAGGAGGTGATTAAGAGAAAAATAAGGAATCAGTGGTGCTTACATTCTTGGAGGTTTATAAGATCATCAGATTTCATCAGCTGATGCATCTTGGAAATGTGAAAATGAAAGTAGATCTTCTTGATTGTATACGGAATCTTATTGCTTTTCACTACTAGTTGTTAAATATCTTGCACACTTAGGCTAAGTCTTTAATCACTTTTATGGCCAGCACACCCTTGCGTCTAGAATCACCAATCTTGTCTTTTATTGGCTAAACATCATTGATTTCATTTTCAATGTTATTTTTTTTTTAGGAATACAGATCAGAGAAATCTCTAGAAGCTTTAACTAAACTGGTTCCTCCCATGTGTCATTGGTAAGTGTCTGTAACCACTAGTATCCCTTGTACAAGTCACTAATTATTGTCTATATTAAAATCAGAAAGCAAACCACAGCAGATTAGTATGTATTTTTAATTGTTGGGTGGAAAATGTATGATTTCTGAAGAATAACATGACTAAAAGACTATGTCGATCAGTTTGATTTTCTCTGAATTCAAGTTAAAGCCTTCTCTGATATTTCAGTTTAAGGGATGGAAAGCTGGAGACATTTCTAGCCCGGGACCTGGTAGCAGGAGATATTGTCTATTTGTCTGTTGGGGACAAAGTTCCAGCAGATATTCGTTTGTTTGAGGTGATTCCCCCCCCCATCTTCCCCCATGACTGCTACTCTAAACACAGCTGTACTCTTTCTGGAGTTGTATTTTGTGATAGAATCATACTGCAGTAATATTAAAATACATGTATTACACGTATGAAATACATATTAAAAACAGCAAATTCTATACAGAGCAAAATTTTTATTATGAATATGTGAGAAGTCCAAGCTGGATACAATATTTATTACTTGTTTACTAAGCTTTGTGATATACTTGTTTAAAATACAAGAAGTGGTCAAATGTTTGACTTTCTCAGGCCAAAGACTTAGCTGTGGACGAGTCTAGCTTTACTGGAGAACCAATGCCAAAGAGTAAAAATACTAACCCCCTCCCTGAGAAGGAGAGGTCGGGGGTCTCCGGAATGACATGTGTGGCCTTCATGGGGACACTAGTCAGGAATGGCAAGGGTAAAGGCATTGTCATAGAGACAGGAACAAACTCACAGTTTGGAGAACTTTTCAAGATGATGCAAGAGGAAGAGGTTTGTATATATTGAATATTTAGATAAAATTCTGCGATAGGTAATCCAGGTGTAAAACATGTACCTGGAGTTGGAAATGTATCCACAAGTACTGTATTTCTATGCCGTTCATGTCATAATAACAGGTTTTTAAGGTTTTACTTGAAAAACTTCATTTAGTTACAACTGTTATTTCAATGTAAAGGTGTTGTATCATAACTTTAAAAAAAAAGATTTACTGGGAAAGTAATGGGAAAAGTTGATTTATAGATAAGTATGTAGATCTTTATACACACACTAAAAGTCATAAAGAATGTACTCTTTTTTCACAGGCTCCTAAGACTCCATTACAGAAGAGTATGGATACTCTGGGGAAGCAACTCTCATTCTATTCCTTCTGTATTATTGGTGTCATCATGCTTCTGGGGTGGATCCAAGGGAGAGGACTACTAGACATGTTTACCATAGGAGTCAGGTAAAAGTCAGAGGGGTCCCACAAATTTATTTCTCTATATGCTATATGTTTATTTGTTACTGAACCACTACAAGCATTTCTTTCTGCTATTTTTAGTTCCATTTTTGATTTCTGATTTTTTTTTTCAGTTTGGCAGTAGCTGCCATTCCCGAGGGACTCCCTATTGTTGTCACGGTAACCCTAGCCCTAGGGGTGATGAGAATGGCCTCACAAAAAGCCATAGTTAAAAAATTACCCATTGTAGAAACTTTAGGTAACTATGCACCATTGTGATTATCATATTCACCAATAAAAGTGTTCCTTGTTTGGCAAGGTTACAAATCAAAATTTGGACAATGGATTGAAGATGTGTGTCCAACTGCCCAAATGCATCAACAAGTACATTTGGCTGTTACATTTAGCTCTGTCTTGAGTTACTTTTTCATCATATAATCTCCCATTTGTAGAAGTGCAAGATCTATGAATTCAGTGTTGAATTCTTATATCATATGATGTGGTATTATGTCACAAATGTTTACACTGCTCTGTCTATTATTGTATTGTTATATTGTACAAAACCTTGTTAACAATGAAACTGAAAAAAATTACATTCCAGACTGCATGATGAGTTTTTGTTACAGCAAAAAATAGTTTCAGCACACATTTTCTTCTCTTTGGTTTTCAAGTTTTAGGTATTGGGAAAGTGCTTTGTGGCAACATCAAAATTTGATAATTATATCAAATTTTTAAAAAAAAAAATTGTGTCATGCATAAATGTGAAGGATGTGAAATTCAAATAATATAGCTAAAATGTGGGACAGTGTAACTAAGAAATAGATCTCTAAATGATTTCAAGTTTCTTCTCAATTCAGAATAAAAATTACTGGGTATGCAATGATCAGCGATAATAACTTTAATATTGATTTCTGGTACAAAATGTGATTTTCTTCTAAGATAACCATTGAAGTTAAGATAAACAAATGTATTTTAAAATTTTAATCAACAATGGCTTATATGACTGGCAGAAAATAAAAAGTCTTTGAAATGTTATGTTCCTTAAAACATTGTACATTATTTAAAGCTTATTGAGACTCAGCAATTTGTAAGCATAAGATTCTTATTTTTGGAAATTATCATGGTTGGTTGTATAATGGTGATCTTTTCAGGTTGTGCCTCAGTTATATGTTCCGACAAAACAGGGACTTTGACAAAGAATGAAATGACTGCCACACGAATCCATGCTGCTGATGGACTATATGCTGAGGTACATTAAACACTGTCATTCTGTTAAAGCAGTATGAGCTGCAACTTTGTCGGGAATTTTTGTTGCAATATTGTAATTAACTATTTCAATGACACAAAAAAAAGAATGTTTATAAACCTTTGTTGCTCTTATTTGCGATGGAAGAACTATTTACAAGCTTTGATAGAAGCAAAATTACATTATTGTCGTCCTGTACAATATTGATTTCTTATATAATACTATACATTCCATTGTACAGAAATATTTCTTCTAAAACAGATTTAATACTTTATTTTAGTCTAATTGATCACAAAGTTTGAATTACATAAAGATTTGTCATAACAGCACATTTTAACAGCAAAATAAAATTCTCAAAAATGCAGCTCATATTGCTTTAAACACAAAGTAACAGTTTTGTACAAATGAGACAAACACATGCTTAGAACTTTCAGGCATCACATTACAACTTGATGGAATTATGACCCTGAGTTCAAGGTCACTTTGAAGGTAATTGTATGTGACAGATAAGAGGATTGGTTTTCGTGTTATAGGTGACAGGAGTGGGGTACAATGCTACAGGAACCATCCTCTGTCAGCATGAGGAAGTGACTGACAACTCTCACCCCTCCCTTTCAAAGGTTGTAGAGGTCGGATGCATATGTAATGATGCTGACCTTTGTCAGGATGGACTGCATGGCCAGCCCACTGATGGAGCTTTGTTAGCATTGGCATGGAAGGCAAGTATGAATAAAAGTTACCATAGTGCTTAAGAGAATTATCTAATGGGTGTTTTATAGGTGGATTTTTAAGATGTGTATTTGTATTCATTTTTAGATGAATTTGCACCATGTAAGAGAGATGTATACTAGAATAGAAGAGTGGCCATTTAATTCTGATACAAAGTATATGGCAGTGAAGTGTACCCCAGGATATGGAGAAGTAAGCTGTGAATTCACACTTTGAAGGAAACAGGGTGGCCTACAAAATATGAAATTTGATTTTTGTAGTCATGAACTATTATATAGGATAGAGGAAAACCACAGTTTGTAGCTACATGTGTAATATTTAATACTATTTCCTTTATTTGCATACAGAGCTCTCCTTTTCCAGGAGGTTTAAATATTTTTAAAATATGACCACCCAGTCCTTTTAAGTTTTCCACTACATTATTCATTGGAAGTAATCAAGTTAATCTTGTCTTATTGATACTGACTTGGCTGAGGCATATGATTATTGATTTGTTAACATTTTTTTCTGTTCTGCTACAGAATAAGGAGATGATCTACTTTGTGAAGGGAGCCCTAGAGAAAGTATTGGCCAACTGTTCTCGCTATTATAACCAAGGCAACACCTCTACACTGACAGAAAAGGCCAAACAGGAGTTTTATCATGACGCGCGTCTGATGGGACGAGCTGGACTCCGAGGTGGGTGCAATCTGACAAAGTGTTTCTATTCATCTCTTCAATAATAATTTAGTGTTTTAAAATATTACATGAATTTATTTGGCATGATTTAAAAATATGTTTGAATTGCTTCATAGCAGGTAATTCTTCAGAGATAAATTTTGGGGTAATTTTTACTTACTGTTATATCATTAAATATATGCAAATCCATTCTATACTGACTCTATTAAAGATAAGGAATTTGAATATTTTGCAGTTTTGAACTGCAAAATACTGAAAAATATAGAAAACATGTGTAAATTACATGAACATGTTATATATAAATCATGAATCTGCTCCATTTTGGCACCTTGCGTTACAGTTTACTACATTACTTTATAATCCTTGTATTTCTTCAGTCATAGGTTTAGCCTATGGGCCTGAGATGAACAACCTTGTGTACGTGGGGATGGTAGGAATTTGTGATCCTCCCAGAGAGGGGGTCAAGGAGGCAATCACAACCTTAATGGGAGGAGGGGTGTCAGTGAAAATGTTGACAGGTGATTCAGAGGAAACTGCCAAAGCTATAGGTAAGCTTACTAGAGGTTAAAGACAGGTGTGTTTTGATAGCTATTGTGAGAATGCAGTGATTTACATCTCAAAATTTAAACACAACAGTTAAAAATCATGCCACTGCCTGCATTTGTTAAGAAGGGTTTTGATTTCTGAATTGAATTCGTCAGCATCATTCTGATGTGCATAGATTTGTGAATATGTGAACTTCATTGCAAACACAGGTGTATGTTTACAAATATGTTTGAGTCATTTACATATAAGTAAGATTCTCTTTGTTATAGGTAGTCGCCTTGGTTTATTTTCTACGGGAGGAAGGGCTCTGTCAGGTGAACAAATAGAGCAAGCAGATGATGAACATCTATGTCAGATTATTCATGGTGTCACAATATTCTACAGAACAACGCCAAAACACAAACTTAAAATTGTCAAGGTTTGCTTTTTTTTTTTTTGAAAATTTTTAACTAGATACAACTAACACATGTTGAATAAGAAGAAAAGGGATATAGTATTAGTTACTGTGGAATTTTTAATAAAGATTAACCCTTTTTAAAGGGAGAAATTACAAATTTATCTGATGTATGTATGTACTAGGAAATAGCCTCTATTTCTAGGCTCTACAAAGTAATGGTCATGTGGTTGGAATGACAGGAGATGGAGTAAATGATGCAGTCGCGCTCAAAAGTGCTGACATAGGAATTTCTATGGGCATTACGGGTACAGATGTCAGCAAGGAGGCTGCTGATATGATTCTAGTGGATGACAACTTTACAGTTATTCTGTAGGTATTAATTACAATAATCTATAACTGTGTCTCGGGACAGGCCCTCATCACAGTTAGAATGCCTCCCAAATACCTGCAATGTAGCAGAATATTGCTGAATCACTCCTAATTGATTTTGGTGCCCTTGTTTATTTCACTACATTGCCAATCCATGGAATGCATTCTATCATTAAATTAGGTCTGTAGGACATTATCATTTTAACAATAGAACATTCTATCTATGTAGGTATACGTTATAAGATATGATTCTAGTTGATGAAGACTTTGCAGTTAGTCTATTTTGATAGAAAAACATTGTGTTAGCACCATGTCACTAAAAATGTCACTAAAAATTAATTGTCTTATCTTTTCGTTATAGATCTGCTATAGAAGAAGGAAAAGGCATATTCTACAATATTAGGAATTTTGTTAGATTTCAACTCAGCACGTAAGTCAAGAATAAGAGTGTGTTTATTTTATATACAATTGAACACAATCAGAGTAAGATTGTCTACACACCTTCTAAATTATAAAAGAATATGACACTTTTGTTTATTTTAGGAGTATAGCTGCATTAACATTAATAACTCTTTTTTATTTTAGGAGTATAGCTGCATTAACATTAATAACTCTTTCTACTGTGATGAAATTACCAAATCCCTTAAATGCCATGCAGATTTTATGGATAAATATCATCATGGACGGTCCACCTGCTCAGAGGTATCTGTTTTCTTAAAATAGAAGTTACGGTACTCAAGACCCCTTAAAATTTCATTTCACATTTGATGAAAATGTGTAGTATAGGGCCAAGCTTAAAAAATCCTTTGTTTGCAGTTGCTGACCTATAAGTTTTAGAGTGGGTAGGTAGGTAGGTAGGTTTTTTTTGTTTTTGTTTTTGTTTTTTTTTGAAAAAAAGATTGTAGTTTTCAATTTTTTGTTAGATAACAAAAATAGTCTTACTAAACATAAATAAGCTCCACTTGTTATGCGCCACTGATTGATAAAAGCAAAAATAGAAAATGAAACAGTTTCAGTATCTTTAAAGTTAAACAAAAATATTTATACAAAATACAACTTTGGGTCGGGTGCATTTTCAGTGGGTTGGTAGGCAACTGCAAACAAACAAATTTTTATTTTAGGCCTAGTAAAAGTCTAACTACAAACACAAATACAGTTGAACTTCGATATTTCGTGTTACTTCGATATTTCGAACACGGATATCTCGAATACCATGGATATGTCGAAGTGATTTTGAAGTCCCAACTGCATATTACTTAAGTATTTTACCCTGGATATCTCGAATCCTCGGTTATCTCGAAGTATTTTCTCGGTCCCTTCGAGTTCGACATAATGAGGTTTGACTGTAGCATAAAGATATGACTAGAATGGTAATCTTTATTTAAAGAAAAATACAATCTCTTATTTATGTATTACATTGCATAACTTTATCTCAAATAAAAATCATGATGGAAAAAAATAAGTTTATTAATTGGACTGTTCCATGAATTCCTATCTTGATTTGTTTATTTTTAGTCTGGGTGTTGAGCCAGTGGACCATGATGTAATTAGAAAACCTCCTAGAAAGGTCAAGGACCCTATCATAACCTTTGACCTCATTATTAATATCATAATCTCAGCTGCCCTCATTGTATCGGGTACACTTTGGGTGTTCTGGCGAGAGGTAAGAAAATTACCTACAGTTTGTTTATAAATGGATCGACATCTATAATACTGAAGACTGTTTTTTATGCATTGTCATATTCAATTTTTTTCTTTATAGATGAGTGACAACAAAATCACTCCTCGAGACACCACCATGACATTCACATGTTTTGTATTTTTTGACATGTTTAATGCTCTTAGCTGCCGCTCGGCAGTAAGTGACTGTTATTTTTATTTTCCTGTAACTTTAAAACAATTTCTTTCAAATTAAATCAAGTTTATCACATTGATGGCAAGGCTATGATTTCAGCATTTTGTTGTTGTTGTTGTTTTCTATAGGAAAAATCAATATTTCAAGTTGGATTTTTTAACAACAAGATGTTTTTATTGGCCGTGGGGGGCTCTCTGATTGGTCAGCTCCTGGTGATATACTTCCCTCTACTCCAAGCCGTGTTTCAAACAGAGTCCCTTTATTTATCAGGTGAGGAAGGCACATGGTAGAGTAGGTTAAGGTATTGATATGATCTGAAGTTCTGGGTACAAGAAACATTTTAAGTAAAATACTTTTGTATATTCTAATGTGTGCTAAAATGTACAAGATGTATGTCTTGAGCAGTAAAGATACATGAACATGGATTTTAAGAGTGACATGAAATTTTTCCTGTTTTGTTGTATGCCAGTCATTGATCTAGGAAATTATTCTGCTAGAAAGAAAAAAATAACTTTTTAGATTGCATTCATGTATACCTGACATATCACTGCTACATATTAGAGTTAATTACATTTTCAACAGTGAAGTACTGTAATTTATCCCTTGAATGAAAGTGATATTTTTGCAGGTGATATTTTCCCAGTGAAAATAACATTGATATTTTCATTGAAAATATAAAATTCATGGCATAATTCTCTATTTTCCTTCCCTTCAGAAAAAGTGTGAAAAGTGTAATAGTGTAAAAGAAAATATAATGTACTCCATATAGATAGCATGAGAGAATATACCATGCTAAGTGAATTGACGCTAAAACAGCCAAAGTAAAATCCATGTTTAACAATATTCAATCTGACTCGTAATTGCGTAGCTTTGCAGTCTCATAACGGCTTAGCTATGACATCACAACCTATGCCCCTGTGTTCGGAAAAGACAGCCAACATGCTAAGGGGATAAAAGGAAAAGAACAACAAAGAAAATGTAATTAACAAAAAAATGCAATGTTTTGTAATCAGATATGGAATTTATTTCACTCATGAGTGGGATATGGAATTCATTTAACTTGTGAAATAAATTCCTTATCCAACTACAAAAAATTGAATATCCTTTATTTCCTAGAAATATGAAATCTGTAACTTATAATGTATTTTTTTTACTTATTTCAGACTTGGTCTTTTTGGTATTATTAACATCATCAGTTTTTGTGGTGTCAGAAATAAGAAAGTTTGTGAGGACTTTACGTGAGAAGAGGAAGAAAGGACTTGGGAAACAGTATTACAGCGATAACAGTGTCTGATTCCCAGAAATGTTGTTAACCAGACATATCTCTTTTTTAATGTGTGATTATTATCTATAGCCATGTGATAGTCTTGTTGTGGGAGCTATGTTGTTCACAACAGATTTTAAATGTTTTAGTGAAATTTGAGCAGGAAATGACAGTTTTGATTCTTTTTTTTAATTTTATTAAACTGACACAAGACATCCAGTGTTAAATTTTGTAGATGTTACAGAATTGCACAATAATTGTACCTACAGTATCTAGTACATATATTTACACAAAAAGATTTACAAAAGAACAAAATATCCTTCAAATCAACATGAATACATTTTGTAATTTCACTGCCTTTAGAAATTAGACAATAATCAAAAATCAGTGTAGGCTTGCAATACTTTTGTCAAATATCATTCTGTGTTCAAACTAATTTCTTTTGAAATTTAACTTTTTTTTAAGGTATCCATGTTTTTCTATGTATTTAGATATAGATGGATTTAACAGTGTTTTCTGTATGATCAGATTAAGATTCAAAAGTGCCACTGCTGTTTTTTATATCGAATTTTGTTACAAAAATAGACAATACATGTAATGTGATTGCATGAATTTGAGGTACATCTAATATTTTAAATTTTCATAAATATATGTATATGTTATAAATTAATGAATGTACATGTATCATTAATTTATTTTCATTGTTTGTATTTATATGTTGACCATGTCAGTCCAGTTTAGGTGTGTTAATTCCTTTTCCTACAGTGTGGCCTCAGCCACTGTTATTCTCATTGAGATTACCTGATTTTTTTTTAATGTTTTAAGGTCACATTATTCAAGGCATTATGTATAAAAGTTTAAAATATATAAATATGAAATATATAGATGATATATAAAACTTGAAAATGCTTTAATTCTATATAGGAACTTCATTCTTTATAAAAAAAAAAAAAAAAAAAAAAAAACCAATTTGCAGCAAATGAACTGTCTTCTAGGTGATTTTTTATGACAACAAAAATCATAAACATTTTGATAAGTGGGGATTTGGAGATAATGGATAAAACTGAGCATGTATACATTGTAATGTATTAAAGGATTTGAAATTTTCCATGTATAACTGTAGTGCAGTAATGTGCTTGAAATATGGTGCAGTATATTTTCAGTATTGTTTCATTCATTTTCAGTCTGTGCCATATCTTTTGTAAAATAATTTTAAGTAACTCATTTATTAAGAGAAATGAAAAAAGAATCGCTTGTGGGGCTGATGAAACATTATATATTATGGTAGAATTGTGAGAAATAAAATTTGAATTTATCTAATAAATAAAAGAAAAAATAAATAAATAAATAGAAGTCATTTTGTAATGGAAATTACAGTAAAAAGAAGTTAATTAATTTGGAAAGGACTTCCAATACTGTTTTGTTTTAATGATACAGTAAATGACAAAAAAAAACAATTTTCTATAGGCAGGTGTTCATTGTCTGCAGGTTTGGTATAATTATGTTTGACTGTATAAATTTTACATCAATTTTGTAAGCTTTAGTGATACCTGTCAGATTGTCTTGCTTTTGTCACTGTTTTATATTTAAACATGTTCTTTTTCAATTTCATTCAATGGTTATGTGGGAAAAAAGGTGAAAAGTTACATTTTATTGTGGTAACTAATGCAAATTGTTCTCACAGAATATTTCTAAAACCATGCATCAGTCAAATAGACAGTAATCATGTACAATAATAAGGTAACTGCATTTTTAGCTCACCTCGACAAAGTCGAGATGAGCTTATGCTATACCCCCGGCGTTGGCGTCGGCGTTAGCGTCGGCGTCCCGGTTAAAGTTTTAGGAGCAAGTCCCATTCCCAAGTTACTATAAGCCCTACCTGGACCAAACTTGCATGGATGATGCATCTAGAATGGACACTGCCACACTTGCTTCGGATGCTGGATCTGACCTAGATTTTCCAGATGAGTGACCAGGTTAAAGTTTTTGGAGCAGGTCCATTCCCAAGGAACTATAAGCCCTACCTGAACCAAACTTGCATGGATGATGCATCTAGGGATGGACACTACCACACTTGCTTCGGATGCTGGATCTGACCTAGATTTTCCAGATGAGTGACCAGGTTAAAGTTTTTGGAGCAGGTCCATTCCCAAGTAACTATACGCCCTACCTGGACCAAACTTGCATGGATGATGCATCTAGGGATGAACACTACACACTTGCTTCGGATGCTGAATCTGACCTAGATTTTCCAGATGAGTGACCAGGTTAAAGTTTTTGGAGCAGATCCATTCCCAAGTAACTATAAGCCCTACCTGGACCAAACTTGCATGGATGATGCATCTAGGGATGGACACTACCACACTTGCTTCGGATGCTGAATCTAATCTAGATTTTCCAGATGAGAGACCAGGTTAAAGTTTTTGGAGCAGGTCCATTCCCAAGTAACTATAGGCCCTACCTGAACCAAATTTGCATGGATGATGCATCTAGGGATGGACACTACCACACTTGCTTCGGATGCTGAATCTGACCTAGATTTTCCAGATGAGTGACCAGGTTAAAGTTTTTGGAGCAGATCCATTCCCAAGTAACTATACGCCCTACCTGAACCAAACTTGCATGGATGATGCATATAGGGATGGACACTACCACACTTGCTTCGGATGCTGGATCTGACCTAGATTTTTCCAGATGAGTGACCAGGTTAAAGTTTTTGGAGCAGGTCCATTCCCAAGTAACTATAAGCCCTATCTGGACCAAACTTGCATGGATGATGCATATAGGGATGGACACTACCACACTTGCTTCAGATGCTGAATCTAACCTAGATTTTCCAGATGAGTGACCAGGTTAAAGTTTTTGGAGCAGGTCCATTCCCAAGTAACTATAGGCCCTACCTGAACCAAACTTGCATGGATGATGCATCTAGGGATGGACACTACCACACTTGCTTCGGATGCTGAATCTGACCTAGATTTTCCAGATGAGTGACCAGGTTAAAGTTTTTGGAGCAGATCCTTTCCCAAGTAACTATAAGCCCTACCTGAACCAAACTTGCATGGATGATGCATCTAGGGATGGACACTACCACACTTGCTTCGGATGCTGGATCTGACCTAGATTTTCCAGATGAGTGACCAGGTTAAAGTTTTTGGAGCAGGTCCATTCCCAAGTAACTATACGCCCTACCTGGACCAAACTTGCATGGATGATGCATCTAGGGATGAACGCTACACACTTGCTTCGGATGCTGAATCTGACCTAGATTTTCCAGATGAGTGACCAGGTTAAAGTTTTTTGAGCAGGTCTTTTTCCAAGTAATTATAAGTCCTTCTTAAACCAAACTTGTATAGATATTGATCTTGGGATGTACACTAACTAGAAAAAATATGATGTGAGATTTGCCTTACTTATAGATAACCTTCGTCGAGGTGAGCTTCGTAATCTTTGATTACCTATGTTTTTTTTCTATGTTGAAAAATAAAATTTTTGCAAGCTGATTGAAATTTTAAAGAACAGTCAACATGCCCTATGTAAATTAATTTATAGTCATTTAAATTGATTTTTCAAAAGATAACTAAGTATATCTTAACAAGACTTGATAAGCAATGTTTGGGAACATACCATATATTTATCAAGATTACATGACACATTTTCTTTGCAGATACCATTGGAATAAAAAATATATATTTCTTTATTTTGTGTTGATTAAATAACAGTGACTCTATCCCTGAAGGCCACAATTTGAACAAGAAAAAGATCCCTCACTGCTCAATGGCCCTGACAGTGCCTAGTATAGATCAAAATTTGCAGCTCTCTACCGCCAAGTGGTGGAGTCTCCACATGAGTGAAAAATTCTTGAGAGGGATGTTAAACAATACACAAAGAAAAAAATCTCTGTAAGGAGTAGATTAGGCCTATGGATTTTGAGGTCAGGAGTCAAACTGGACATAGGAAGATATTGACCACTTAATATCTTAAGAACCCTTTGCTTGAGTGACAGACATTGAACTTGGCACACATGAGTGCTTCCCCCTAAGCTGTAGATGACCCTTATTAATTTGAGGTCACAAAGCAAAGGTCAAATACTATGGATATACACATGTACAGAGATTTTGTCTGCTCAATATCTCAAGAACCCTTTGCTTAACAGACAGGTCAAACTTTGTACAATGCTATCCCATGAGGAGTAGATGACCCCTATCAATTTTGAAGTCACATTTGGTCAAGGGTCAACCATAACTTAAGAAGATATTGTCTACTCAGTATCTTGAGAATCCTTTGCTTGACAGTAATCAAACTTGGTGCATTGGTTCTTATTAAGAATTTAATGCCCTTTATTTATTTTGAGGTCACAGGGTCAAACTACTGTAGACATGAAAAGAGAAAGAAAATCTTGAGATATCAAACTTAGTTTATTAAATTGGTACCCGAACCTGAAGAAGTAAATGAGCCCTAATGATTTTTGAGGTCACAAGGTTAAACGTCAAAATATTCTGGATAGAGAAATGTATTGTACACTCAATTTGTTGAGAACCGTTTGCTTGAAAGACATCAAACATGAATAAATTTCCCTTAATGATACGTATACTGAAGTCTTTGAAGATAATTAACAGCCAGTAAAATCATGTTAAAAAGTCCATTGAAACAATTAATACAAATTGTGAGCATAGCATAGCAAACATCGATCACTGAAAACATCAGAGGTGGAATCTTGTGCCATGGAGGAGTAAGCATCCCCTGTCAACCATTCACACCCTCCAAGATTTAACTTGTATTATGTGTGTCCCAGCATGACAAGTGTAGATAACCCATTTTTTTACCATCATTACAAACGTTTTAAACTTAAATTAGTCATTTCTAATATTACCATATGGTGGCTGGTGGGGGTGGGGGCTAAATGTTTCCAAAGTATTTTTAAAGTGGGGCCAAATGAGCCCATTTGTGAACCATTCTTTGTATTGATCTTCTAATTAAAATCAATTCATCTATGTTAATATTATACTCTTGTTGATGTATCAGACATTTTTTATGTGTTCAGTTATATGTATAATATTAGTAATAGTAATGCACATCATTGCACATTAAGTTGTATCAATTAAGAGTACAGATATATCTTAAATCAAGACAACCTATGTCTACATATGAAACTCAAAACACCACCAATGTATTGCTCTTCATTATATGTTGTATTCTGTCTGTTATCTTATCTGTAATTATACATGTTATATGTTTATGCCCATTGGGCCCTGATTTGGTAATAAATCCTATTCTATTCTATTCTATACTGTTTGGCATATATGAATGATTTGAATGAGTTAATGAATGCATTTAAAGTTGTAAACATAATTGACTTCACTAACATATACACTAATATGTATGTATTTAACTGTTTATTAATATGTATTCTGATACTGTAATTTTCATTTTATGTAACGTGATTAGTATGCCAACTCATTTGGTGAATCAATAAATGAATTGAATCATATGGTACCAAGTTGTTTGTATGTGAGGTATATATACAAAATATTTGTGAATTAGGTAAGTGTTTATTGTACATGAAACCGTTGTATATAAAACTTTCAAATATCACGGTTATTGAACCGATTTTTCTTGGTGACGAATATTGTTGGGACCCACTCTTTTGTGTTTAGAAAACAAAAAACTCGCTCTGTTGGCGGGGGATCAACAAAGAGGTCACCGTCACCCAAGTCCAATTATTTTGGTAGAAGAAACGTCACGATTAATTAATTTATTTTGAAAATGCCGAGAATAGACAATGATATCAAACTTGACTTCAAAGATGTACTTGTTAGACCTAAGAGAAGCACGTTAAAAAGCAGATCTGAGGTAAGGAATGAAAGAGTTCTGTGCATCTGTAGTGGTTTGTCTCTATTTTAGCAGGGACCTATAATCATATACTGTTAGCTTCTCGATTAATGCATTTGAGTAGGGCACATTTTCCTCAGTGTGTGATAAACTTGTAAGAGAAGCAATAGTTCTCATTCATATCGATTTCTGAGAGTTATGGAAGTAAACGTTTTCACAAGAACGAGGAAGGAATGTTGGATGGTGTCAGGTTTCATACATATTATGTTGCCAAAATCGCTTATGAACTCAGTCATGATGTATTTGTCACAAAAAATGCCAAAACTTACCATTTATCGAGGTATTAAAACAGATAAAAGTATTTGCAAAGTTAAAAGAAATGTGTTTTGACATTATAAGCTGATTTCCAATTAGGATCTCAGGATGTTTTTCCCCAAATGTAAATGTAAAGAAATTCATGCTATGTTTGCATGTCAATTAAATGTTAATGTACAGTACAGTATGATATTGCACCTTTGGGGCTACCCAGCTATGTCATCCACTGACACGTGTTTCAACATGACCCATACCTGTCATCATGGCCAAAACTTGGGGGAGAAAATGCGTGACGACCTTTTGCAAATACAAAAAGTCACGCATTTCACTGTATTATAAAACAAAAATAAACAACTTACAAGATAAAACTTTTTTATTAATATTATTATTATCATTTATTCATAAAATTTACTTTTATTCATACATTGTTTTGAAACTTGTATAATGTGATTTTTGAAATTATAAAAATACATTTTCTTCAATGTATATTCTGCCTGTCCATAAGAGTGTCTTTTGAATAATATTCATGGCAAATGTCAAAGTTTAACTTGGCAATTAGAAAAATTAATAAGGTTCTGTAGACAGTCTGAGTTTCCAGCTTTTAATAGATGGATGAATAGATTTTTCTCACTAAGTCTAAGGAGCAAGAGTTGTGTCCTGGATTTAAAGATCTGAAATTGAAATCATTGTCAAAACTTAATGCTTATATTCTTTAAAATAATGTGTAATCTAGTATGAATGAAATACATGGATTCTCAGACCCTGTGTTTTTTCTTTTAATCTCATAACATATATCAGAATTTTTAAATCTAATGCTTTATTGTAGTAATGTTCTAATATGCTAATTCTATATTCTAATTTAGAAATTTATTACCCTGTTTAGCAATGTAAATTCAAAGAAGTCTTCTAAAGGCACTGTCATGCTGCTCTTTAGTTTCAGGAGCTTTTGTATGCTGATGTTGATGCAGGATTTACTAAGACATTGAATCTCAAAATCTGTGGGGAACTCTTCAGACTCTTCATTATTAGCTTCCATGAAATTGTTCCCCTCTCCTCGTTAAATTAATAATAGAGTACTGTAGTTATATCTTTCCTGATCACTGTATTGTTTATGGAGGAATTGTTTTGTCTTGGGTACTTGTAAACTTATTTGCAGCAAAGTATCAAGTACATCCATATCGTTATTTACCGTCATTTTTTGCAAAATTTTTACATCTGGCATATCTGTCTTTGATAATATACACTTTTAATGAGAATAAAGAGCAATTACAACTGCAATTACATCTGGTAGCACAGTTGACACCTTGTTGATTACCTGTTATCAGTGGCAATAAACAGATTAGCTACCGATAAACACTGCATGACCTCCATTTTTGTGTTGACATGTCGGTATTTTACGAACCCAAGTAGGTAAAAAATCCGGATTTTTTCAAAATTGGTAGAAATGCCAGTTTAAAAAAAATTCGGTAGACAATCGGTAGTGATGGTTAAAAATCGGTAGACTCCCGAAAAATTCGGGAGAGTTGACAGGTATGATGACCAAATCTGCTTAATAGATCACTCGTTTTTTGGCAGAAATACTTGATATCTTACTGACTGCATAATCTGTTTGTAAACTAAAAGTGCTTCTGTAGCTCAGGATAGTTATATTACAAATGCCTTACCATTTTTTTTAATGGATTGAGCAAGATTTGTTCAATTCTTTTAATTATATTTAACTATTTCAAGTTTAATGTTAGAAACTAAAAGATTAATGTTAGAAGTACGAAAATGGATGATTTATTCTTCTAAAATCAGTATGATTGGGACACCTTTTAATATGAACAACAGATAAAATGACACATCCTTCAATCCATTTCCAACAGATACAGTGTTGTGGAAAACTTTTTCAGATAGCCAGTCATTCGGACTGGCAAGAAGACAAAATAAGCCGGTCCAAAGTGATTTTTGCCGGTCCGAAACAATAAGTCGCAAAAAAAAAGAAGCATAACATCTATTTACTTAATAATAATATAACATTCAGTCTCCATTTCCAAGTCCTCTTCCATTTTGGTTTTTTTATATTTATAACAATACTAAATTTCACCGCTTTTGGGTTAATGACAATGCTAATTCAGCATAGTAAACGTTATTTTTTTCTTAAATCAAAAAAAGGGGCCGGTCATTTGGACTGACATCAATACCATTTTTACTGGTCACACGCATTTTTTGTCAGTTTTGCCGGCATGACCGGCAGTTTTCCACAACTCTGTAGATATCTAGGGTTAACCTTCTGCTATTATCGTGTCTTAATGGATTGTTGAAGTCCAAAAAATTTCAAAATAAATGCATGGCATTAATTCTTATTAGCTTCTAACATCTTAAATTGTTGTAAATAAATTTTGAAAATGTTATACATTAAACAATGAACAATGAAAGACTCTTAATTTTATAAGGTTTATGTATTAATCAAACACACTACTCTCTAGTATGCATAGATTAAAGCATTAAAGTCAGAGTGACAAGATTTGCATGTGAATTAAGTTGAATTGATTGGTTTGCCTATGCTCTGTAGAACCCCCAGCAGAGTTTAGTGACGTATGCCACAACAGCTGGATCAGGAGGGGCCGTGGTAAGAGGGTGATGTGATGTTTGATCATCCTTTCATGACCATGAACTTTGTTTGCAGCCTACCAGAACCAGAATTCTTATCTTGTTAATCCATTTTTAAAATCATTTTTATATATATATATATATATATATATATATATATATATATATATATATATATATATATATATATATATATATATATATATATATATATATATATATACCGGGGGGTATATATATATTTTAAGTCCATCTTTAAAAAATTGTTTGTTTGCCCTCTCACGACCAACTAGCTAAAAATGGCCCGACAGGTTTTTTTTAACCTCCAGGAAACAACATTATATTTTTGAAATTTAATTTCAATATATTTTGAAAATTCAGCATTGATATTGAAATTTTCTGGAGGAAAAAACTTTCCCACCTACCTACTGACCCAATTTTTTTACCCTGGGTCAGGAGAGGGCAAACAAACATTATTTTAAAGATGGCCTTGAATGCATTTTTGAAATGCTCAGTACTTAAAAATTGCGAAAAAAAGAATCCCTGACACAGCATTTGACTTATTTGTTTATACCTTTGCATTTTACATTCTTCCAGTATAACTATATAAAGACATTATAACAATATTTTACGATTACTGTATATTTTAGTATGGTCATCAATACATGTACCTGTAAATTCATTAGGAGGAACTTCCTATGAGTAATTAAAACTTACATGCTTGAAATATTTAGCAGGTTTGTAACAAGTAACATTGCAACTAAACGATTCATAAAAAACAGTCATTGATGATAAACATTGTGATTTGTCAGATTTTAGGACAAATTCCTGCCTTGAACTTTTTTTCCCGAGGAAAAGTTTTTGGTTTAGTCTTACTGTGTGACCAAACCCCCCCCCCCCCCCAAAAAAAATGTTTCCCTCAATCAGCAACTTGCAGCTATAATAATGTCCAGATAAAGATTGCACTTGTTTTCATCAGGCAACATTAATACACCAGATTGGTTTGTTGGTCGATTTTGTGAATAATTTAATTGCATGCATGATTATTTTTTCTGTTGCCGTAACACATGTACATGTAGTTGTCTAAACTGTGTATTGATTTTTCAGCTTTGCTAAAATTGCTGAATAAGGTATCGGGAATGTTGGTCATTTTCAGATGTGATCTACTGTTGTGGCATACATTTTAAGTGATCCAGCACTCATCTGCAGAAACTAAGAGTTTTCTGCATTAATATTTTGTTGGTGAACCAAGCTTGCTATTGTGTCAATTGATCAGACAGACATAATAGCATGAACAATCTATAAATAAATAAAGATTTGCATGAAATCTCAGAAATAAATCTAGGAGAGTTTTATTAAGGTAAAAGTTGTCTAGATGTGACAAATTTATAAATAGTATTAAAGGATTTTATTCTTTAATTTTTTTTATTGATTTTGTAGTGGGTTAATGTGATGATATTGCTTGAGCAGAAATGAGCAGATAAATTATGTACTTTTCTTCTAGATTTATTCAATAATAATTATGTATTATGTATGTAGGTGGACCTGTGTAGATCCTTTACCTTCAGAAACTCTGGACAAACTTACGATGGAATCCCTGTCATGGCCGCTAATATGGACACAGTGGGAACATTTGAAATGGCCAAAAGCTTTGCCAAAGTAAGACACTGGTTTTAGCCATAAAGTGGATAATATAGATTTTAATTACATCTATAATGCATGGGAACTAATCATCTTTTTCTTTGGAACAAGATTTAAAGTGAGCCAGATTTTGATAATTTATTGTCTATGGTTGGTTTTCTTTTCAGAGCAAGTGTTTTGTTTGTATACACAAGCATTATTCTGTAGATGCGTGGAAGGAATTTGCTGCAGAAAACAAGGGCATCATGGAGGTACAAGAAACTAAACTTCATTAAAGATTACTGTCAATCAAAATATTTCATTCCCTTGAAGATTTGATAAGAATGTTAAAGAAATATTGAGTGTAGAATATTGTGACAAAATGCTATAGAAAAAAAGTGATCTATAAGTACATGTAAGGATCAAGACAGCTTACTTAATGCTGTAGCATGTTAGTTAACAGTGTATCACTATGTCTTCAGTTCTTTATTATAAAAATAAGGAGGAAAATTAGATTTGTTCATGTAACACCATTACTAATCCCAATGAACAGCTGCCCAAATGTTCAGGATATCTATAATGTAGTTAGATCACCATATAACAGTTATGTATTTTATTTGTTTACAGAATGTAGCTGCCAGCACAGGAACTGGGGAGGGGGACTTAAAGAAGCTGATAGCCATCAGTGAGGCCATCCCAGAGCTAAAGTACATTTGTGTGGACGTTGCTAATGGCTACTCAGAACATTTTGTCCAATTTGTACGAGATGTGAGGAAAACATTCCCCAAACATACCATAATGGTGAGGTCCTGAACAGCTCTATATCTTAAAGCAGATATGTTTAGCTTAATGGGTTACTTCCCTTTATCAAAAACTGTTGCACTCCTTACAACAGTCAGCACACCTTTGCCTGCTATAAGCTTTGCTATTGTTCATAATTATTGTGATTTACCACTTGAAAAATCATAAGAACATTTGTAAATTTGCTATTTATCTATATATACTGTACAGTATTTTCCCCAGACTGTTTTTGCATATACTTTGAAATTGTTATCAGTTATTAATCTTTCAATAAAACAATTCAAATCACTAGAATCACAGCGTGTACTGTACATATGTTGCGCACCTGTGGTGAACTCGATGCGAATCGCGGTACGTGGTATGATGCAATAGTTGTCTATTTATGTTTATTGCAATTTACTAACATGTTACTAAGTATTAAGCATTTATTTGATTAAAAATATTCATAAGCATGAAAAATTTATTAATTGCTGTCAGATAATACACACCGTGAAAGTATACACTTGTTATATGCACATGTGGGTTTTTCCAACATCCACAGGTCATGCTATAAATAGCAGTGATGTTCCGACATAAAAAATGATTCATTAGTTAAACACATAATTTTAAAGCCATTTTTTAGCATAAATATGCTTAAAATAAACATGTCCAATAAATATTATCATTGTTTATGACATTACTCTATGAACTATGGGCAAATACTTCGTTCAAGCGCACATGCTTGACCTACATTCAACAGCTTACGTTGAATAAAAAGAAAAAATCAGACACCAATGTACTAAATATGTAGTCCAATATTTACATGTAAGCAATGGTGCTACATAATGTGCACCCTTTTTGTTTAAAAATGACTGTAAAAGTAGGGACATCCAAAAGAAAAAAAAATGTAGTAAATAAAAAAAAGGGGGGAGGTCACTAGGGTCTATTCAGTTTGTAGAAAGCAAGCATAAACATGATAAAAAGACAGTGGCTTTAGAGGAAAATAAAATAGAACAATTTTTTGTGATTAGATCTATTTTTATAAAAGAGAACTCAATTGTTTAGCTTTTTTAAAAGTTAAATTGACAATATATTCAAAATATATCATTTAAATTAAAAAAAAATATAAATGAATGAATTTGTACTTTATTTTTCATTTAAATATAAATACAGATACATGCACTAGTAACTCAACAAGACATGCTGCACGTCGTCAATTCTGCAAAATTCCCCCCATGCATTGAAAATTTTCTGGGGAAAACACTGCTGTATACAGGTTTATTTTGCCCTTTTACACTTGTGAACAATTTTTACGCCCCCTTGGAGGAAGGGAGGGCATATTGCTTTGCTGCTGTCTGTCGCTTGGTCTGTCTGTCCGTTAGTCCCCCAACTTCTTTGCAGAGGTTGCACATACTGAAATGAAATTTGGTATACAGATTCATCATAAAAATATATTGGTCAAGTTCAGTTTTGGGTACGATCGAGCAATTTTTGAGAGAGTTATGTCCCTTTGACTTAGAAAAATTACAGTTATTTGCAGTTTCTGTTCGTTTTCTTCGCAGAGGTTGCACATACTGAAATGAAATTTGGTATACAGATTTATCATAACAATATCTAGGTCAGGTTCTGTTTTGGGTACAGTCAAGCAATTTTTGAGAGAGTTATGCCCCTTGGACTTAGAAACATTCCAATTATTTACTTTCTGTTCATTGTCTCAGCAAAGGTTGAACAAATTAATTACTGATATATCAGGAGAAATGTGTTTTTGCCAAAGATGTGATGTAGAAGACTATTTCTGGTTGATGCATATCAGAAAGAACCGGTAGATGACCCTATTGATTTTAAGTTCAAAAGGTCAATTCACTTCCATGTACATTGCCCACAATGTATACTGCACATAATAAAGGCTTGTGCACCCTATAATGTATGTCCAAGGGGGGAGGAGGCATAAGTGTTTCACAAACATCTCTTGTTTCTGTTTTAATTCATCCAGACACATGTGTTAAAGAGATTACCATGTCTTTGAATTTGCCTGTTTTGAATTCACTCGCTTATTAGAAGGGCAAAAGGGGCAAAAATTTTCCTGTGCACAGTACATGATGAATTTCTTTTCTCTCAGGCTGGTAATGTGGTAACTGGTGAAATGGTGGAAGAGTTGATTTTATCAGGAGCTGATATCATTAAGGTTGGCATTGGTCCAGGCAGTGTCTGTACTACACGTAAGAAGACAGGAGTGGGATACCCCCAGCTGAGTGCTGTACTAGAGTGTGCTGATGCTGCCCATGGACTGGGAGGTCACATTATCTCTGTATGTACTACATGTACTGTATCCCTAAAAAAAGGTGTCTATTTATGGAAGATCTTTAGTCATAGACCTTTTGAACCTCCATTAAAAGAAGATTTACATACAGTTTTTAAAATTAAATGTTATAGGATCCAAGGAAATGTATTAATAATAAATGTAAATATTAAATGTACAATTTATAAGATGTCTAACATGAAAATTGTATAGAAATGATCATAGAATGTTTGTAATGTTAATGTCAACTGTTTGAAGGATGGTGGCTGTACTTGCCCTGGTGATGTGGCCAAAGCTTTCGGTGCTGGTGCTGACTATGTGATGCTAGGAGGAATGTTTGCCGGTCACACAGAGTCAGGAGGGGAAATGATTGAGGAAAATGGCAAGAAATTTAAATTGTTTTATGGGATGAGTTCAGCTACTGCCATGAAGAAACATGCTGGGGGTGTGGCAGAATACAGGTAAAATTTCTTGTACATTAATTAATTACCAACACTTGTTAAGACTGATTACCTTGTACACTTCCTGTTAGGTTTTGAGATTTAGTGGGGGGGGGGGGGGGGGGGAGGCATGTACTTGCTCATGCACATGCCATGCACTTGACACACATTAGTAATACAGCTAAGTTTTTATACATGCTAAATAATGGTATCTTTTGAAAGTCTTAACTTTGATTAAAGAAACCAATGATATACATGATATGTAATCTATTCAGGGCTTCTGAGGGTAAGACAGTCCAGATAGAATACAAAGGAGATGTAGACAGCACACTGCAGGACATTCTGGGAGGACTAAGGTCTACTTGTACTTATGTGGGGGCAGGAAAACTAAAGGAGCTCAGTCGTAGGACAACATTTATACGAGTAACGCAGCAACTTAATGAAGTCTTTAGCGCATTTACCAAAGAGCATTAACAATCGTAGCAATAGGAGGTTAGACAGTTGTATGTCATTCCAGCAGTGACTCCTGACACCTCATTGGTGATGTCATTTTACCTTATTTCTGCACGGACCTGGAACAATCAAAGGGATGAAGATGGAATGGATTTTATCAACAGCTTATTTTATCTGATTTGCTTTCAATGTAAAGAAATTTTGTGCCAATGTCCACTTGTTTCAATCTTGTATGCCTCTAGTCAGTTGTACAAATCATGGGCACTTTTGGACATGTTTTAGTTATGGAAACAGTATTTTAATGTCATTTATGACTATGAAAAAGAAATCCACATTTTGCTTTTTGTTTAAGACTTTGCAGTGTGAGTTTTCCATTATTTGAATGCTATTATTAAAGATTTTCCCTTGTCCTGTATTTTTCACAAGGGAAGTTACTTATACTTGCAGTGAATTTCCCTCCGGACCAGGGATTTTTGTTTTGCATATTGTGTTATGCTAAAGTTCCCTAGTTAGATGCCATATTATTTGTGAGAGAAAATTTTGAGATTTTTCTTTTATATTCTTATCTTGCTCAATGATTTGTTGGAACATTTGTTTAAGGAGGAAATGCAAACTTGCATAATAATCTGTACCCATGACTCCAGTGCTGCATTCAGGATCATAATGGCTAACCTAGATTCCAGGTGCAAGATTTTGGATACAAAATCTTTGTACATGTAATTGTTAATTTTCTGAATAAAGTTGCCGAAGTTCAAGTGAAATTGTTTATTAAAAGAAACTCCCTTTAATGGAGAAAACACCAATTTATGCTTTCTGTAAGTACACTTTTAACATTTCATACAGAGAGGTAACTACAGTGGCCATCTTTGATTTGATGCGTAACGTGGAATATCTGTGCTAGTTTTCCCTAGAGAGTGTCTAGGCTAGCATATTGTTCAAGCCAGTAGTTCTGTGTAGAGCTAGGTTGTTGTTGCCTATATGATCGTGAATGCACCCAGTTTTCTCCTGGCTGTGATGTATAAAACAGAAAAAATTGGTTTGGATGTTGTTTTATCGGAGTCCTGTTTAATTTTTGTAATAAAAACTTAAACAAAACATTTCTTAATTTTCCTTAACTGTCGATATCCGTTTCTGTCTATAAAAAGAATATTTAACATCCTAGGAAACCAAATAGCTTACCACAGCATCTGTGTGTAATATTAAAATTTGTTCAAAAGAATAATGCCAATTTTAAAGGAAGATTGTGCTGTAACCCCAGCTCACAAGGTGCTTTCAAGTTAACTATAAGCCTGTGACTAAAATTGCATGGATGATGCATCTACGGATGTACTTTGGATGCTGGATCTAACCCACATTTTCTGGGTGAATGACCATATTAAGGTTTTTGAGCAGGTCCATTCCAAAGTATAAGCTTTATGGTGACCAACACCCCTGGAAGCTGAGGAATTCTTGCAAATAAGAGGTATTTTTTTCCCCTTGATTTTAGGATAATGGACATATAAGTTCTACATACATGTATTTCAAAAAAAAAAAATTGCATGTATGATTTTTCTAGGGATGCATACTAAAGGGCAATCTGCTGGATCTGACCTACATTTTCTGGATGAGTGACCAGCTAGTTTTAGCAGCAGGTCCATACCAAAGTACCTACAATGGGAAATCACAGTTTTACTTTAGAGTAACCTTTTTTTCAAGAACAGCAAAGCCATTAACAATCATATTTATATGGAATCATCCTCAGGTAGTGTAGATTCAAGGTTGTTTAAATTATGATCGCGGGGCAGAGTGGAGCCACTATGGACGATCAAAATTTTACATAGGAATATGTACATAGGAGAAAATAATAAAACTTCAAAAATCTACTTCTCAAGCACAGGAATGCCATGAACAGTCATATTTACATGGAAGCATCCTCAGATAGTGAAGAATCAAGTACTGTAGGGGGAAAATAACTCGCGGTGTTAATATTCGCTATATTCACGGTGTTAATAAATCTGTGAATTCAAAAAACAGTGAATAAGTTTTCAATGACCTTCATGTTTTATTTGGAAATTTGAGAATAGACTACGATAGCTATATATATACCTGCTGTACTTGGTCATTTCAGTAATTACGAGTAGTACTTGTCATTCAATTATTTTAATTAACACGCTTTACTTTAATTCAAATCAGCAGATAATAACCTGTATTTGTTAATAAGCTGTTTTGATAGCCAACGCTGCATGTTTCATCAATCAAAACACGTGGGTCATGGGTTTTGATTACCCGTGTGTAACTGATGTTACCACGTGTATTCGTTACCTGCATTATCATGCGTATTAGTTTTTATCGACATTTTGGTTTTAAAAAAGTCATTCAAATAACTATCGAACTTGCTGATGATGTGGAAGGATACTATGTCGTCGACCTACATTAACATTTATAACCGTCCAGTGGTTTTCACCGCGATGTATTATCCCTTCGGGAAGAAGATCTTGGGGTGTACATGCCATGCACTCATCGTAATAGCATATAGGAAAGTCATTTGACTTTTTTTAATTAATCCTCAATAAATTATTAAATCTACATGTAACTTTTTATATAAACCCTGTCGTTCATAAAATGACTACATAACGCTGATTAATGTCGTTCTAGCTATAGACAAGGGAGGTAACTTTTATTATATAACAATTCCGCGAATTCAACAAATCGCGATCGTGTCAGAGGAGAGAAAAACGTGAAAATTAGAACCCGTGAAATTAATCCCCTATACAGTATGTTCAAATCATGACCCCAAGGTAGGGTGGGGCCACAATGGGCAATCAAAGTTTTACATATAGGAAAAATATTTTTATCAAGAACAGCAAAGCCATAATCAGTCAAATTTATACTAAAACATTTACAGTTAGTGTATATTCACATTTGTTCAAATCATCACCCCAGTATCAGAGCTCAGTATTAAGGTGGAGCTACAATGGGTGATCAAAGTTTTACATGGGTATACATAAAAAAAAAAAAAATTCAAAAAAATTTTCTTCCTACGAACAGCAGTCCTAACTAGTCATATTTATATGGAAGTATCCTAAGGTAGTGAAGTTTCACATACCGTACTAAGTTTCAACTTTTTTGGCCCAGCGCTTCTTTAAAAGATGCCACCTTTCACTAATTCTTAATTATCTCCCTTTGAAAGAGGGTGTTGCCCTACATTTGAACAAATTTGAATTCCCCTTATCCAAAGATGCTTTGTGGCAAGTTTGGTTAAAATTGGCCAAATGCTTCTGGAGAAGAAGTGGAAAATGTGAAAAGTTTACTGACTGATGGACAACAGACAAAAATATTAACAGAAAAGCCCACTTGAATTTCAGCACAGGTGAGCTGAAAATGCGACGGACCAAACCAGAATTCAAACCCGAGCCCCCTAAATTACTAGTCAGGTGTGCTACCAAACGAGCTATCTGTCCATCATAGATCAAACCTGTCTGACCGCCACATTAGCCTGGTCTAGGGATATGTAGAGAAGTGCAAAAGGAAAGGAGAAAAATGCAACTGACCAAACCAGGATTCAAACCCAAACCCTCTAAAATACTAGTCAGGTGTTCTATCAACTGAGCTATCTTGCCACAGGCGATCAAACCTGTCTCACCACCACAGTTCTTTCATATCAACTAATTAAAAATGCATTTCCATTTTGTAAACAACAGTTCAACTCATCGAAAAATGATATATAATATTTTATTGCTTGTCAGACAGAATATTTTCCTGTATTTCCTTTCTCTTGTACATTGAGTATTGAAAAAGCTCCCTCGCATTAATAAACAATTATACACACATACATTCAGTACTGAAATGGGTATACAATAGATGTGTAATTACATATGTAAATGTAAAATTTAACATCAACTTGACATAAAAACATACGGACATAAATGTTGATTGCTTTTGCTCTAAATCTTAGTAAATTTATATAAACATTGCTTTCTTTTAAATATAAGAAGCATCACAGAGCAGAGACAGTAACTTTTATCTACTGCAAAATTTGCGAAGAACATTTGATGAACCAAGAATGCAAACTCTATCCTATATTAACTTACACAAGTAACAAATGGCTTGTATAATATATGTACATGTGTATATAAATACTCTAAACATTATATGTATATATATAATATATATATATATGTGGACACTTTAACAATACACAAATAGATGTATGATAGTTATCACAATACAGTCTTAATACTTAAAACCTTATCTATCTACATCACAATATGATTTATATTTTGGCACACTTGACTTGTGTAGAGGTGTTTTCATAAAAAAAATAATCAATCATTGTAAGTGCTTGCAATAATTGTACATTAAGCAATATTTCAAAACACCTCCACCATATAAAATGCAGTGTGATTTGTTGACAATAAATTAGAAAGTCTGAAAATGTATAAAAATGTCTATTTGCAAAAATAAATTGCTTCCTCACTGTAGGTCAAGCTTAAGTAAATCCTAGTATTAGTGATTAAATATGCATTTAAATATACAGTAATGAATGATCTAATTCAATCTCTTTGTGTTTTCTATTCTAGTTTATAGACATTTAAAAGACAACACAAGATAAACATGTCTTTTTTATAAATTTCATTATAAATTGTAAGGACAGTATATAATCAATAAGGCCATGTCAGGATATTTTTATCTGGACTATATTTTTAAGTCAATATTTTTTTTTTATCACAACGTACAGATATGAAAAATTTTGATTATCTTATCCAAAACTGAACTGCATAAAAACAAATGAACAAAGATTACATATGATTGATATGGAACTTTTGACTAACTAGACAGTTATAAAAATATAATACTTAAATATTTCCATTTATATTAATTAAAAAAAAAAAGATTATTATCTATCTATACATTGGCTAATGGATTTCAATATTGTAAATATACTGAGTACACCATTTACAACCTATACGTACAATCAATGCCATATTGATTTTTAGTTTACATTATGCATACACGGTTTGATTAAAGACAATTTTTCTACCGGCTAAGAGAATATACACCATTGCAAGGATTTAGAGATGTATGCATAAAACTGTATGACATTTCAATTACACATGACCTCCTACCCCAGGAATATATGTATATGTATGATTATTATTTCATGACTGTTGCTATTATCTTAATTTTGTGATTTTCTTGTTCATTAAATCAATTCTACAAAATAGAGACTTTCAAAAGCAGCATGTAACAATAATAATGCTACCTGTATGTCATTTGTAAAAATATGACTTGTATAACAACTTTGGGGTACAATATTTCAAAGCCTAAATTCAAAAGCTAGAAAAATACTCATAACTCTGCCAAAAATGATTTAAATCTATCTTCTAGTTAATGAAAAAGAATACTGAAGTAAACTAAACCTACACTGAGGCAAAATGCTTTTGATTCTTCATGAAAGTTTGGCAATTCCATAAGCACTGGTATATAATACATAAAGGCAGCAAAACATGCCACCAAATTGAGCACTCGGAGTGAAGTACAAGGGGGACAGAACTGGACATAGGACTCATATGAGCAAGTATTCACTTTTTGCTGATCAGTAAAATCAGAAAGCTACACACTATATGGATTAATATAGAGCTCTTTGAAACACGACATCTTAAAACTGAATAAAATGACAGATATGACACGTAACCCCTGAATCATACAGGTGCAATATAAAATGCATCTTTTGTATGAATACAAAAAATCTGCCAAAGAAAGTCACAAACATTATTTCTTGTTTGTGAGGGGGTGTGTGTGTGTGGGGGGGGGGGGGGGGTAATTGAACAATATTAAACCTCTCTTTTTTCTTTTTTCCCCACCATCACCTTTACTTATTGTTTACACAAATGTGTTAGCTGCTGTCAGGTCAATGGGCGGAGCCTCTGACAAGGAAATGACATCACAATATTACACTAACCAATCATATCAAACAGAACAGATTATTTCACTAACCAATCATATCAAACAGAACAGATGCTAATCAGTGAAGGAAAGCCTCCCCATCCTCCATTTCTTTGCTCTTTTCTGGTTTATCCTGCTTTTCTTTAGAACCTTTCCTCATGAATATCCAGGGTGCACTAAGTCGACTACGATTTGATTTATTGCTCTGAGTTGATAGGCTCTCCCTCGGGCTCTGCATTCGTAAGGGAGCACGTGGAGTCCCAGGGGATGAGCCTGAGTGACTAGCTTCCTGATCTTGGGGGATGTTGGGGGTGACTAGTCTGAGAACTAAATGGTTGCCACATTGTCTGACAAGATTCACTACTTCGTCGTGTTTCGCCCACTTTGTGTCTGTGTCCCCTACAGCTACTACCAAGTCTCCAACTTTCAGTTTGCCCACCTAATCAAAAAGAACAATTAGCAGAGACTATTTAAACTAAGTAGTTCTTCTACAAGTCTTCAAAATATTTGTAAAATATTAGGTGATAAATTCATTAAAAAATTCAAAGGTAAATCAAACATTTCTTCAACAATTCTTTGAAATACAAAATACATTTGTATGTAAAATATTTAAGTAAAAATAGCCTGAAAAGAGGATGTAAAGAATTTCTAGATAAATATCTGCCAATTAAATATTCAGTAAGATGGCATAATGAAGATAGAATATGATATACTTGTACCTCAGCAACACTGCCTGGTTCAATTTCTGCTACACGGACTGGAGCATCTCCACGGACACTGAATCCAAATCCCTGATCCGGATTACGATCCAGAGTTACTGTTCTTGGTGCAGACCATTCATTTTTGGCATTGAATATTGTTATAGGGCCCTAAATTTAAAAGTAGAGTATCAATAAGTTCACTTATGTTTATAATGTACAGAGGATCTCTCTGTATACAACATAATGTACATAAAGTTAAGTAGTAGAAATGATAATTTTTAAAATCATTAAAATCCAGATTAGTGGATAGAAACTACTGCTAACCAGTCTCTTGAAAATGTCTACCACACTGATATTTCTGAACTCTGGAGAAACTGGGGAGACATTTTGAGATGTTTTGGGGTTTATTTTAGGAAACATCAGAACTTCTGTAAAATCATCCTCCTCTTCCAAAGATGAAAACTTCTCCAAGCACCTGTTTCACATCATAAAACAAGGAAAATGAAAAACCATAGTGAAGATAAACACTCTTTAGTTTTGAAACATCTATTTTAAAAATCAAAATTTTATTCAAGAATTTATCAGAATGAAGTGCCCGAGTTTACCTGTCATGGGCCTTCTTTAAAATGTCCTGAAAGGTATCGATTTTTCTCAGTTGTTTACACAAGTCATGTAATCTGAGAGCCTCTTCATGGCAGTTGAGTGCACCTTTGAGGTGAGCTTTTCCTGTTGTAAAACAATTAACTTCACTTCAGACAAAGCAAATAAAAAAAATACTCTTTTTAAGTCAGCATTTTTATTAAAAAAAACCCAAGAGGGGCTTGAGCTGCAATCAGTGAAAGGACCTGTATCTCTCTTATATGGAATTTAGTTTTTGTCCCTGAACAATATTTTGATACCTCCCTGAGCTGTTTTACTGACCCAGTGTAATTCTCTCCTCCTCAGTTTGAGGCATGCTCAGTCTGTTGTTCTCTGTGTCCACTTCCTTTGTGTTCTGTAGAGCCTCCATGAATTCAGTTAAAGACTGACTATCATTTTCATCTGCAAAATATATTTTGTACCATTGATATAACTTAAAATGCTTCAAAACAGCAACATCTCTAAATATTATTACATCATTATTATTACATATGATTTAATAATTTTTGATATTTCTATAGTATTTTGGTTTTTCTAAGTTCATGGTTTTTATTAAGCTGCGATCTCTACAGATTACAAATACATGTACTTGCACATTTTTTCAAAGGCAAAGTACTTTAAGATATATGTTTCATTAATAGACAGTAATAGACAAACCAGAACAGTCTATGATAGCCATTGCCATGTGAGTATGTGCCATTGCCATGTAATATTGAGATTTCACCATCGCCATGGAGACCCATGAGTACGGAATGTAGTCCTTGACCGGTTCTGCGGTCATCAGTAACTTTGTGTCATCATACATCTGGGACACCTGTAGACAAAGCAGGTGTCAAAATACAGGTACAAGGAATAGCACAGATCAAATCAGTGTCATTGTACAAGCGATTTCTGAATTCTTATTAATATAGATATACTTACCACTACTGCTTCTTGAGCACATCTGACATTTCTTAGGAGTCCATTGGTATTACCACCCAACACCTTACACTCAAACACACACTCCTGGGCCTGACTCTACACATACAGATAACATATACATACAGGTAAATGGTAGAGAGTCAATATAAAATTATATTACAGAGAGATCGTGTATTTAAATACCATTCCTACAATATGTTTTATGCTACATTTGCTTGAACTTTGTAACCCAAAATTTGATGCATGAAAAATATTGCACTGTTTTAATATTCAAGACTAGTAAATCAAAATTAACATACACAAATGAGGACAAGTTAACTCCATGTGATAGTTATGATTTCAATACTAGCTGATTAAAAAGTTGTTATTTAATAAATATTTTTGTGACATCTGACACTGAATTACTAACCATCATTAGCTGTATAAGCATGGTCAGTGTATGGGGCTGCATATCCATACTGGGAGCATTAGTGAAGTGATTGTGTAAATAGCGGAAGGTTCCCGCAGCTTTCTGAAAATTACTGATGGCGTCCTGTACTCCTGCATGAGTTGTCCTATCCTGAAGTAGATTAATTATTAAGGTTTCATCATTTTATGCTAGTTTATAGCAACACTATGATTTTTCTACTTATAATTAAAACACAATATTTCCCTTAAAATATTCTCTTTTCTTATATTCTTGAAATTTAACATAAATAAGCATTTATAAATAAATATAAGCACTACACATACATATCTGTATATTTTACCTGTTTACAGCCTATCTGTGTATATAAAGCACCAATATTGAATAAAACACTGCCTTTTTCGAAGCCCATTGTTTTTTGTGTGTTGGGTACACCTGTTAGAGAGTCATACCTATGCCAAAAAAACCACACAGTTATTCAATTTATACCTTAAAAAACCCCTTAAGATTACAAATCTCTTGACAATACCAGGACTGTAAATCACCAATTTTTCAACACATCTTGTTTTCACAAGATAGTAATTTGTTTGTTTGTTTGTTTTTTTTAAATAAGCAAATAAAAAGGATTTACAAAAATATATTTACATGTTTAATGGAAACAGATTCCCTTTGCTTCTTTTGAAACTTTTTTTTTTCTCTTTTTATTGTAATTTTTTAAATGCCTCTTTGGATCAAAAAGACATACCAGTGGAAGTGAGCACCAAGAACTCGGTCAGGAGGGAAGAATCTCCTCTCAATAAAGTGTAACTGATTAAAGTACTCAATCAACAACTCAACCCCAGACTCATTTCGCTGTGGAGTTCGCATGTCCTGAAAGAGCAATGTCAAACAAAATCAATTGATTATCCTCTCTTAATTTAATAACTACACCATATCCATGTTTTGAGCACAAATATTTAAAATATTTAACAGTGAGATGAAACTATTGTTATATAATTCATGATAAGTCTTCCTTGTGTACATATACTTATAGGAGAGGTAATCTAATCTAATCTGTAACAGATATACATGTACTTATAGTAAGTGGATAAACTGGTATCAAGTGGATACAATACACCTGCTAATTAAACCAAATGTAAGTACTTATCACATCTACCTGTCTGAGGTCACATAACTCCTGGATTTCTTTTTCGTACCGAGTCCCATCTTCACTGTAATGCTCCAAAATAAAGTCCTACAAAGAAAAATTGAACTCTTTATTATTAAAATTCATTTCTTAAGAGTTTTATATGCTAAATTAGTGATTGGGGCATCACTGGGCTAATATAAACATACAAAGTCATGAAATATACAGGCTGCAACTATAAGCCAAAATATTCACTGCAAGCGCAGTCACACACAGTAAAGTTTTTAATGGATAAAATTGACATCAGATGTTTAACATTTTTTGATAAATTTTAATGTAATATGTATACTGATTAATATTTGGTATAACTGAAAATTATAGTGACCTTAATGGGTACAGCTAAGTCACACTCTGTAGTCTCCTTCAGGCCCAAAGGAATCATGGGAACTGTGTGTGTACCACTGAAAAACATAAAACAAGTATATACACTTCATTTGATTTCAAACTTTATAATATTCTGTGATATCTGATGTCTTAATTATTATTACCCAGTGTAACATATCAAATAAAAAGATAAGACAATACATTGCATTTCTAATAATATATTTCTACCTCACTTGAAAATAAATTTTAAACATGACTTGTTTTAAAGTTAAAAAGAGGGGCAATTAATATTTGCAGTTATGAAAGTTACCATTCATTTACATTCATATTTTAACAATTTAAGAAAGTTTGCATACAATCATATTATTTGTTTAGCTGGGAAAAAATTATCACATTTCATAAAAAATCCTTACGACTCATTTCAGAAAATTTTAAAAATGCCGCAAATACTTAGAAACCTCCAGAAAAATAAAATAATGACACCTCCCTCATTCACACCCCCAACAGGTGAATGTAAAATGACTTGTAGTGTACTAACAACAGTCATGCTTCATTGGACAAATTTACACCTTTTTTATGATTAGGGCCGCTTATACTTAATAGAGTAATCATTATACACATAAATGATTCTTTTAATCATGGCTAGACATTGACTTGTTCTGATCAGTTCATGAGTCAAAATATTTAAAAAAGAGCCCTTGGACACTTACATCAATTAAATTAGCTATAATGGTGTGACCACTGGGCTTGATATAGACAGAATTCTAAAGCTTGACCGAGCATTTCTTAGCGTTGGAATAGGATATATATTTCCCTTGAGGTCAAATTGTTTCTTTATGAGAAGTATGTCAAGTGAATCAGTTCAATTCTGATTTAAAAGTTTTCTATAAACGGGAACAAAGTGAAAGCTGACTATAATTAACATATTTACAGCTTTGTTGATGAAAAATTCACTTACTAATTTATACATCTGTCAAGATATTCATTATATTACCTACCATTAAATTTAAAAAATTGCATTTCATTTTAATGGCATTACATCTAACACTTAATAAGATTTTATTGTTCTACAGAAAAGTAAAAAGAACCGGAATGTTTGTTCAAAGAAATCCTACCCACTGGAGGCAAAATATGTATGTATATTCTACATACCAGTCAATTAAATAATTATCTAATTGAAATTCTTTCTATTCTAAAAAGATAATTAAATTGTTATTATATGTACTGGAGGGCAAATAACTTAACTTATAAATATTTAGGCTCATTTGCAACTTCAACATTCAAACTATGCAAATTAACCTGCCTATGAGAAGTCAAATTAATTATTAAAAGAACACAGCTAGCTGACAAAATCAAACTTTAATTTCAATAAAATCTTGGCCATCTGACATACTGGTGTGTCACAGGGAGACTCTATTTATCAAATCTAGACCTGGACAACTATAATTACAGAGATGGTGAAATACTGCACCTTTTTTCTAGAGCTGATACAAAGTAATTTTTCTAGAGTGATAATTCTGACAAATTCATAGTGAGAATAAAATAATGCAACATCATCATAAAAACTCCATATAAGTGACAAATTTTGATAAGGCTTTGACAGTTTGATAAATAGTGACCATCTGTACTACAATAAGTCTGACACGACTCCTCTCTCATGCCCCTACTCCCTGGTGGATGACCTCCAGAACGGACACTTTTTGTACCCATATAAATCATTTGTGTCTACCGTAGTCCAACACCAGCAAATCTCCATCATCATATGATCTACTGCCATACAGTGATCGGATCATTGTTAGAGAGACACACATGGCTCAGTGGGTGAATATGCCAATAAAGGTGTTGGTGGTTCAAAGTATTGACTACATGTAATATTTGTAATACGTGAGCAGTACCCCTTGCTGCATCGTTTTGGTGTTTGATATCTACATGTACTGGCTTCTGGTACTAAGTAGGCCAAAAGTCTGTCCTGTATGCTGCAGTACCGGTATATTATTACTCCAAGAACATCATCATGGCAACAATTAGCATATTCATATGCATTCTACATGTACTAGAATATTATTTATCACTAGCAGTCTACATCTTGATGTATAATTACTTAGATAGCAACTCTCTGCCAAGCTGTAAATCATTATTTATTCTTACTAGTAACATAATTATTTGTGAACTGCAAGTGATATGTACCTGGTACAAGGCCAAAGATATACATGTACTATATACTATGCCCAATTCCTGCAGATTCAACAGAAATGCTTGTTTACTTCATCATGTTAAACCAAGTATGAAAATTTAATATGTAAGACTGTAAATATAATTAACAGGTAGGTGTGAGGTTTCTCTTTTCATAGTATGCCAAAATTGTAGGCAAAATATGCAAGGCATGTGTTAAAATTGTGGAGTAATTAGTTTTCATCTCTAAAGAATGTCTGGATATTAGTACTTCATTTAACTTTATTTCTTTACACATTTCCTTACTATTTCAGTAAATGAACAGTTTTTCTGTGATTGTAGGCATAAGCTGGTATCATTAAAATGCCTTCAATATACAAATTCCATATTCATGTTTGGTTTCTTAAGATGCACGTCTTTCAAAAAAAATCAATAACACTTGCAGATTTCTAAGGTAGACCAGACAAAACATTGCATGTTAAAAGAATTATATAAATCTTAAGGTGTCCAAAGTCAGAAATACTTCATCAATCAAGGGGCTAGACAAATATTCGATTTTCATTGTAGTTTTAAATCTCCTGGATTTTTACAAAATTTATTGCATTTTTGGAGTCGTAAACAATGATTTAGAAAATCTATAAATTCTACTCGATCATTCTTTTATTTCTTTTGAAAAGATTTTGTCATTCAAAGAATATATAGCTTATAAACATATGAATGAGAGAATATAATACCTAACAGAGAAGAAAAATGCTCTGAATAAATACACATAAAATGAAAGTACAACAAAGAATATTCCACTGATTATTTTAGAAATAACTACTGCTGATAATCAGAAAAGTTCACAAACATAACTGAATTAAGTTCCACTCTATTAAAAGGAGTGATGAATTTTGATGAAATGCACCCATACTTCATAACAAGCGGTGATAAATTTAGATAAAACATACAAGAAATGTTTGATTGTGTCAAAGAACAGGGAGATTTTTGTGCTGGTCTTTAGGGACGTGATGGATTTGTCCATGGGTCAGTGGACAGGAAGCCTGACAAGTCATTTATGGTGCTAATGAGATGTTACTGGATGACTTTTTCACACAAACAACAAATTTAACACAGACATAAACAATGTTCTTAACCACAGAACACTCGTATTGTGGTCCTGACTAATATTCTCATAAAGAGCTAGGTGTATACTTATGCAAGTTAACTCATAGCACAAAATATATTTTTGATATTTCTGAAAAAAACATTTGGCAAAGAAAAACTTTTTAAAACATTAATTCATTAATAATACAACCATGCTGGTACACTAATACTAATACTTACTTGTCAAATTAATTAGTACATTGACATAAATACTTACTCATCATATAGTACATGAACACAAATGATTACTTGCCATATGGTACACTAGCACTAAATTTTAATGCTTGTTATATGGTACACATACGCTAAAGCTTACTTGTCATATGGTATGCTAGTACTTATGCTTGTCATATGGTATATCAACACTACTGCTAACTTGGCATTTGGTACTTTAGCACTAATGCTTACTTGTCATGTGGAACACTGACACTAATGCTTACTTGTCATATGGAACACTGACACTGATGCTTACCTGACATGTGGAACACTGACACTAATGCTTACTTGTCATGTGGAACACTGACCCTAATATTTACTTGACATGTGGAACACTGACACTAATGCTTACTTGACATGTGGAACACTGACACTAATGCTTACTTGACATGTAGAACACTGACACTAATGCTTACTTGTCATGTGGAACACTGACACTAATGCTTACTTGACATGTGGAACACTGACACTGATGATAACTTGTCATGTGGAACACTGACACTAATGCTTACTTGACATGTGGAACACTGACACTAATGCTTATACTTGTCATGTGGAACACTGACACTAATGCTTATGTGTCATGTGGAACACTGACACTAATGCTTATGTGTCATGTGGAACACTGACACTAATGCTTACTTGTCATGTGGAACACTGACACTAATGCTTATACTTGTCATGTGGAACACTGACACTAATGCTTACTTGTCATGTGGAACACTGACACTAATGCTTACTTGTCATGTGGAACACTGACACTAATGCTTATACTTGACATGTGGAACACTGACACTAATGCTTACTTGTCATTTGGAACACTGACACTAATGCTTACTTGAATTGTGGATCACTGACACTAATGCTTACTTGACATGTGGAACACTGACACTAATGCTTACTTGACATGTGGATCACTGACACTAATGCTTACTTGACATGTGGAACACTGACACTAATGCTTACTTGTCATGTGGAACACTGACGATAATGCTTACTTGTCATGTGGAACACTGACACTAATGCTTACTTGACATGTGGATCACTGACACTAATGCTTACTTGACATGTGGAACACTGACACTAATGCTTACTTGTCATGTGGAACACTGACACTAATGCTTACTTGTCATGTGGAACACTGACACTAATGCTTACTTGTCATGTGGAACACTGACACTAATGCTTACTTGACATGTGGAACACTGACACTAATGCTTACTTGACATGTGGAACACTGACACTAATGCTTACTTGTCATGTGGAACACTGACACTAATGCTTACTTGTCATGTGGAACACTGACACTAATGCTTACTTGACATGTGGAACACTGACACTGATGCTTACTTGACATATGGAACACTGACACTAATGCTTACTTGACATGTAGAACACTGACACTAATGCTTACTTGTCATGTGGAACACTGACACTAATGCTTAACTATCATGTTGTACCCGAACACTATTGCTTGCTGGTCATAAGGTACTTTAATACTGAATTACTGATGCTTAGTGGTTGTATGGTAAACTAATCTTTTTTGTCATTTGTCTTAGGTACACTTACATCAATGCTTTCTAGTTATGCTGGTTAACAGACACTTATGCTTACTTGTCATGTTGGTACACTAGAACTGAGCTGTTGAGATCAGACAGTTCCTCCTTCAATAACTGGATGTTGGAGTTGAAGAATGACAGCTCTACAGCCACGAGTTCCTTCAGTCTCTTGTTACCAGTGGCCCTGGAATAGTAGTAATTTATTACAGTACACATGTATGTACTCATTCATTTATTGAAAATATGCAAGAAAAAGGTATGTCTTATATGGGCTTTTTAATAAGCTTACGAGTTTTGTTTTTTTTTTCTGAATATTTAAATTAAAAATATATACCGGTATATATATAAATAACAGAAATTTTTGAAAGCCTGGACCTACCTTAAATTAAACATAAAACAAACAGTTTTACAATTACTGTAAATGTGGTAAAATTACAGGGTTGTAAGTTTGACCATTTTCTCCTATTTTAGAGATTTAGCAATGGAAAATTTGATGGTCCATTAGTGTAACAATGCTCTTTAACATTAAAGGATGAAAAAGTTGTTGAGTAGAAAGTTTGGCAATTATTACCGGTAGTCACTTGTCAATTTTTTCAGTTTTCCACATAAGCATTTCCTTGCTAACCTTGCAGAATTACATTTTCTTGAACCGGTATTTCTGAATACAGCTATAATAATCTTTATGTTTTTTAAGCTCTTTTAATTAGTGCATAGACTTACACATTTTGAAATGCTGAGCACGCAATTTATTTAAAATTCATTAATAATGCACTGTCTTAGGACTGTCTGTTTTTTGCATATATTACACATTATACATGTCAAAATAACTCTAGGGCCAGGATTGAATCTGTACTGCACATCAATGGGGATTAACTTAATACTTCTGAACTTAACTAAACTTCTCAGTATTTCAACTAAGACATAAATTTATAATTTTATACAAATATCCTACATAAGTCACACCATATTAAATACTTAATGAATACATGTATGAGGTATTTATTTTAGACCTTAACATTTTAACAACTCCCCTGAGGTGTTGTAAATATTTAACATTTTAAATGATGTCCTTCTTTAGTAAATATCATTTCTCATATGTCCATGATGTCAGATCAAAATTTTAACCCTAATTCCTCAATGCTTGAAATATCTAAAATATTTACATGAGTACTAACAGTGCCCCCTTTCACAAACATTTTTATCATGACTAAACTTTTACAGGGATTCATGCCTTAACACTTTGGAGCAGTCAATACTACTCTAATTGCAAATCACTCAAGAAACTCAAATCTGCAAAGTCTATGTAAAATCACTGAACAGACTTTGATTGGACCTGGGACCTATACTCTTTGTGCTAAATTATTGTTTTAATAAGTACATGTAGATGAAATGAAATTAAAATGATTTTGTGCATAATGTACTAATATATGTATAATTTTAGTACAGTTTGAAAACTTCACTGGGTGTTTATGTAAATGTTCAGTTACCTAAACAAATTTTCAGCTCCATTTCGCATACGAAGTTCTCTGTTTATTTGATCATTCACCTTGGATCTGCGGGACTGAAGTTTGCCTCTGGCTGTAGAAATGAGTGGATCAGAACCCTGTAAAAACAATATACCTCATAATTACACTGACATCAACAAAAACAACATCTTCAAACCAAAGAGAGCAAGGCTCATTGTGTTTCAAAACCTAGAGTAATGGATTAAAGATTTGAAGCGTCTATTTGTTGCGAAGATCCGTCTGTTAAAAGTAACTGTCTTACACCAAACAAACCTTGTTTTTTAATCAAACTAAACCCCCTGAAAAGATTGTTATAATTAACATGTCTTTAAACTGTCAGAAATGGGGTTGGTGCCAACAGTAATAAAATTGTTACTTCAATTTTATCAAGATGATGTTGATGTATTTAGACTCCTTGGCTTCAGAAGAAGAAAAAAAAGCTAGATGTGTATATGTTTATGTTGCCAAATTACAGAGCAAAAAAAATCTCAATAGCAAAGCCAGGCCTCCAAAACAATCAAGGATACGAGTTATTCAAGGGTAGTGTACAGATAGCTCTCCCCTGTGATCTTGCAGCCATAAAACGCCCACACTCTGGTCAGTATGTGGCCAGACAAGGAAATCTATGGTGATTTTATCAAATGATCATTTACATATAGACTGATCATCCACTCAGGTCAACCTTACTTTATAGTTAGCATAGCACATACAGGTAAACTCTGATTGTTAAAATTCTGAGTTTTAGTTTGATCTTTATGAAAGTTTGTTGTGATTGCACCAGAACACATGACTATGCATTTCATTTAAAAGAAAAACATATCAATTATGCAGTCTGTCTGAAAAAGGTTACCATAAAGCTAACTTTATTCACATTACCACATGAATTTCATTGTAATAAAAAAATATCCGGGACTATTCCGACTGTAAGAAAAAATTCAAGAAAATACACATTGCAAATTCTAGCTTAGAATACATACAAGTCTAAACAAAGACTTCCAATCTATTGTCAGCTCCTATCTATAATAAACTATAATATAAACCTGTCATTTAAAAGGTGAATGAAAACCTGACCTTCAGTGCTACTTGTAAGTTTAAAATTGTGTCATATTCCTTCCAGGAATTAGGTCAGTTCTTTTAATTTCAGGTATTTAAGTCCTTGTAGTGATTCTTAGGTATGATCTGTCTGAGAGATAGCTGGCTTTTTTTTTACTCTATAAACAAATAAGTCATACAAGAGGGAAACTGAAATGGGGAAATTCAACTATGGGGAACATACCCCCTGGTATTCCTTGATATATAAATAAAAAGGCCTGAAAAGTCTGTGTGGTGGTGAGTGAGAGGGGGTTCCCTCAAATAGCACCTTTTCAGTCTTGTTTTACATCCATGACGAACAAAATTAGAAGGAAAAAAAGGCTCAGATGAACTAAATGCATAGCAAATTAAAAAATTCAAAATTCTCTGCTGTTGGTCATACTTTGTAGAGCTCAACAGACCAGGAAGTTGACGTAGCTCCAAAAGTACAGAAAAATAGATATAATTCAGAATGATTTATAGGCTTTCCAAGTATTTCAATTACATCATACATGTATTCTACACCTGGTGGTCTTAGGGAATCAAATGGACTATCTTGAATAATAGCTGTCACTCAATTTTATTCTGTGAAAGCTTTCATCAACAGTTACAAAGATTTAATGAATGTCTCTAAAAATGTATTAAAGTCAATTAAGCCTTTTACCTACAGAAATTCATCTGAGTTATATCAGCCTGGGATGTATTCAATTGTAGAACTACTGGCCTTCAGTTTATTTTATGTAAATTAAAAACACATCCAAATCTAAGCTTGTAGTTTTGAAAAGGAAAAGAGACAACACATTTTTACTTAATACAGAAACTGAATTTTCAGTATTCAACATAAAATAGAAAAGCAACAAAACTCTACCTTTCCGTTCATGTCTGCAGTCCACAGATTACAAAACAAGTGAAAAAATTCCCCAGATATTCAGGTATCTAGCTAAGTTTGACAGAATTCCATGTCACCCTGCTTGTATCCCTGTAAATCAGTCCCCGTGAATTCTTTGAAGATTACGCTGATACAGATAATATAACAATAGCTGCTGTTTAGCCTACTTTACTTTTTAAACTCAGCCCCCTTCAAAACAGAAAGGTGATCTGCTGCTAACATCATGAATTCAATGGCGTTCATATCCTTTCTTGTTACATTAAATCTGATATTCCTATGAACATGATGAATGTAATAAATTTCTTTTAACAGACTTCTTTTGTGAGTGTACAACTGTGTAATTACACTAAATCATTTAAAATACCTGTTAACAGAGCTATTGAAAAGAAAAAAAAAGTTTTTTTCTTTAAAACGCACCATGTGAAAGGTCAAATCAGCATAGAAACAGACCGTAGAGTTCATGAATTTTTTCACAATTTATAAAAGCTCTGGTCTCCATAGCTGACATACCAATGCATGGGACTCTCTTCTGAGTAACTGGACAATTATTACGTATCCCTTAATTCCTCATTCAAAATGTTATCTTCATGATAAGACATGCTGATATTTCCTTTCTAGACACAGATATCTGGAATTTTTCCCATCACCTTCTCTTGCTGATGTATTTTTAAAGTAATTGAAAGGGACATCCCCTCAACAAAGTTCTCCTTGACGAATGCAGGGTATATTCTGCAAGGTTGATGGCTTTATAAAAACTATTTCTGATACAAAAATCTTTTTCCTCTACTTCTTTTTATCCCCCAAGATGATGACAAATTTAATACAATTAACTTATGGGTGCAATGTGACTTCACCCCTCACTGAAGAACCAAGAGTCCTATTGGTTACAAGTTGATGTTTGCATTTGAGATGAGTTGGTTTGAGTTTGAATTAACCTGGCTGACAGACAGTCAGATAGAGAGCTGACTTGATGCCACGACACATGTAAACCTGGTTTACAGCCACATCTTTAATTTCACTTTAATATTTCATTACTTTGGATTTCAGTCCATCTCAAACAAGTGGCTCGAATGCGATAGTTTTTTAAATTACCAACTTCAGAATTATAATGCTGATTGTTAATGCAGGAATCTGGTTTTTGAGGGGTAAACTAAAGTCATGTCCATCTATTTTAAACTAATATCACTCTGTTGGGATAGGGGTCATTTTTCAATGGGGGTCAATTTCTTATAGGTTGTACACGTAGAAAACTGGCCCCCTAGGTTTCGGAAATGAAGTGTTTATGTGAACATGGCATTAACATGATTAACTGTCTACCACAATTCCGAAATCAGAACATTACACTCAGGTCTAATCTTTAAAATACAGAATTATAAACATGGTAAATGTAACTTTTCATTAGATCTAGACATTGTCAATTAATGTCAAGAGAGAACAAATCAAGATGTCATTTTTATACTTTGTACGGCCTACTTAAAATTTAAAGTAATGTAGTTAGAGAGTGAGGAAGGAGAAACAGAACGGTTTTCCACCATCAGCACGATCAATTCATAAAGGTTTCTCTGTGTAAGCTTATAATAATTTCATGGTATATGGGAAACATTTTCAACATTTGAAAATACTGGTTGAAGCTCTAATTCAATTAATATACACCATATTACTATGAAAATCTTATTCATCATATTTATATATATGTAAGGGAAAGTCAACTAATGTATTAGTTATACTGACTAAGACATATTCTGGCATTTTCAGTCTCAAAAATCATGTCATATGAATGCAGAATATGGAAGAACATGTACTGTCATAGGTCATACAGAAGAATATGATTATTTAACGCATGCTTCGAAAGCTTCGGTTATTAGTTTCTTTCATACATAGACTTTCAGATTACAAATTGATCAGAAGTACATCAAAGACCAAAGTTTCACTACTTTGATTAATCCAGTCTCTTTTTCAAACGTAACAGATTACCTTTCTTCTGGCTTTCAAGGCTTCGCTGGCCGGAGTAAATCCGTTTGTATGTGTAACACTCATTCTCTAGAAATGTCATCTAGATCAGAAGTTTAAGTTTTCTCTCTATGTACACCTCTCCTGAACATTCTCATGAATACTTTTCGGATGACCTCTGACCGCAAGGCACAAAATGTGACGTCACTTGTTGGGGAGCAGATATTATTTCGTTAACTTCTTTGAAATCATCATTTCTATCACAAATGATTATTTTTGCCACATATTTCTGAATTATTTAATATATTCATGGCGGAATTAAGTGGACTTTAATTGGAAGTGTATGGAAAATGAAGCTTTTTAAAGAATTAGTTTGTCAGCTTAAAAAAAATCTTTACCATTTATTTAATTATTTTTTTTTTACGTTTGCTTGAAAATTACGGAATAAAAATATATTGAAAGAATAACATTAATTTGAAAGTACATACCTTTGATAAAAAAAAAATACTCAAACTTGAGCAAGATACCTGGGCGATTAATTTCGATTTGCACGAAAAGTATATGTACAGGTTGTTTTTTACGCTTTATTCCTCGGAACTTTTCTAGACTTTTCCTATACCTCTCTTATTGGAGAAGGAACACCCATCTTCAGTATATTTATGTTATTTAAGAGGTCGTGGAAATAAATTAGTATATGCAGAAAGATATGAATAAGAAATAGTGTTTATAACATATTCTTTGTAAGCTTTTATTTTGTTTTCAATAAATGTTTGAGGTTTTGTCGCAGGATATTGGTTTCCGATCGAATTTCCTCGGTTAAACATTCATGGATTGTTATATTACAGATCAAGTAAGAATAATGAAATAAATACCAGATATGCCAAAAGGAGGAGCACCACTTGTCACGGGAGTTTCTCCCAAAGAAGGGCCACCTGGAACAAGAATTACCATTAGGGGAGAGAATCTTGGAAAAGATCCCAAGGACTTAATCGGTATAAGACATTACTCATTATTCTCTTTAGAGAAGTGTAAAGGCATAGTCTACATCTAACTCTTTTCACAAACCTTAATGTTTTTATTTTGGAAAACAATGAATTTTTGGAACCAGTGATAGTCTACTTTAAACTTTTCGACTCGAATATGCTTGAATTTAATAGACCCATTATTTCCACAACTTTAATATTAATGCATGTGTAATGGTTTGAGCTGTGCTTATTGGCCTGGATAGCTCAGTAGGTAGAGCACCTGTTCAGTGATACAGGGGTCCTGGGTTTGATTCCCGGTCCAGCCATACATTTTCTCCTTTCCTGTTACAGGTTTGATGCTGTTGACCACCTCTGGACTTTGCAGGTGAAAGTCCTGCTAGGGGCAATAAAAACTTGGGTTGTGTCTTCAAGGGCGAAGACAATTTAAGGAGGGAGGAATGTAATGGTTTGGGTCATGGATAAGATAAAGAGTATAAGCAGTGCAAATAACAAATTTTGAATAATTTTTTAATCAATAGATAAAGGTTTTATTCCAATATATTTCATAACATTAGAGGTATGTTCAATTGAAAATGACTTGCAAAGTACAGAAGATTTTTAAATCAATGCCGGACAATTTTAAAATGTGTTCGAACACAATGTCCTAGTTAATACATAACATGTTACTCCACACTTGCTCACGTGATCATGGTGATGGAATTTAGTACATATTCACAAAGTTACCTGAAGTAAGAAATCAGATGGTGAATTATGAAATTAAACATATCACAACCCTTGTTTACAAAAGAGAAGAGAAAATGTAAGAAGAAGCAGGGTTTTTTTTTTCTCTTTTAAACCATAAGTGCATCTTTGTATGTTAATCTCCTTTTGACACAACTTTATTAATGCAAATATACAATACTAATGGAGAACAATAGACAAACATGTGCTGGCTATGCATTTAGTCAGTGTAAAAGTGGGCGTCCTCATTATTTTATGGAGATTCAAGAAATAATGATGACCCCAGCCTGTGAAAACAGATTCGTATTCGTAAATACATACTCTTATTAAATGTAATTACGCAAAGTTGCAGATTGGATGTTGACCATTTCTGCAATTTAAAGAAAATTGCTCATTTTGAAAGTTTATTTCACGTGTCCTTAAGTTCAGTCATCCTTAATATTGTAATACGTGTATATTGCAATATGATTTTTCAGTCACTGGGCCCAGAACTAGTATTTTTCTCTGAATAGGTCAAGGTATTTAAAAAATAATGGCTTACAACTAAAAGATCAATAGTATCTTTAAAGTTTGTTAATTGATGTAACCTTTCTTGTAAATGTTCCATATATTACAATAGTTTTAAATAGGTTGCATAGGTATAGGATTTTTAACTCAAATTTTGTAGCAATATTCCTCATGGAATTTTTTTTTCATCATAAGGGAAAACAAGAAATATATCAAAACTTTGAAAAAGCCATGGTTTTATATTTAAAAGTTTTTTTTTTTATTTTTAAATATACTGAATAAACTTTATGACCCTAATCATGCTAGATTTACTATGTATTTTTTTCTGCATGTGTATGTCTCTGGTATGAAAAAAAAGATGTTCCACTTTTTATGATCACATGAGTAATCTTGCCATAATGGCAATGTATAATTCCGCAAATCTTGTTTTATTTCAACCCTCTGGATTTGATAGTTATTAACACTTAGTTTTGCCACCCTTTAACCTTGCAGTTGGTATGAAATGCACTTCATTTTAAACTTCCATAATTATAGATTTGTATATCTGTGGAGTGAACTGTGTGTTAACAGCGGAATGGAAATCCTCCAGCAAGATCATCGCTCGGACTGGGCCAGGGAAAGGAAAGGGAGATATCATAGTTAAAACAAATTCAGGAGGGGTTGGAAGCTGTACTGTAGGTTTTAAAGGATATTTTGTCCAGATTGGTAAGTTAGGAATTCATTCAGGTGCCTACCATATAGGCATATACATGGTATCACACTAGTGCAAATGTACTCAGATTGATAGACATCAGAAATGTTTGGTTAGGTGTGTGAGATCCCTGAAATTCATTCGATGAATGTGCTGTGCTGTACATTTCCTGTAGTTGTAGCATACAGCTTTCATATAACCAGATTTTTAAAAACTAATACAATTTGTCACAGTCATAAAAATGTCCCATTTTTGTTTGGGTTCACTTGATTAACAGCAAGATTAGCAATACCTTTTTTATTATATAAGATAATTTTAAGCAATAATCATTATACAGTACAATTCGTTTTTTATCATACCGGTTTTATATCATACTTCTTTTTTTATCATAGATAGTTGAAACACAAAACCATTTCTTAATAATTCATTATAAGTTTCGTCTGTTATTATCATAGGTAAAAGTATACACTTCGCTTACTATAATAGAAAATTTTCGTCCGTAATATTTTTTTTCACACCTTTTCACTCTTGGGACAATCAACAAAACAAAAGATAACACCTATCTACACCTGTGGTTCATGCACTGTCGCTTGTCTATACACAATGGCTTGATTTTTCAGTTTGAAATTTGCCGATAGTGAAAGACTGGGGAGATTAGTCACACTTCAGTGCACTTACCTGAGCGATTTACATGAAGTCTGTATATTTCATGAAGTACATGACAGACTAACACGAACTCTTATTTTTCATGATTTATTTTCTTCTTACGTTAATCCTGAATAGGAGGTTCGTAATGAATCGTTTCACCAAATGTGTTGAAACTAAATTTAGTGTCAGTATTAACCCAAACTTTCTTACGCTTGGTGTCAGGATCAATGTTCATAGTTAATTGGAAAAAAAATGGAAATTATATGTAACGTAACATGTATACACCCAATAATTTACACAAACATCGTATCATGTCAAACGTCCGACATGAATTTCAGCCAACTATGGTTATTATAAAAGTTGCTTATTATAAAGTTTTGGCCTGACAAATAAACTATGATAATAAACGAATTGTACTGTATATTCCTTCTGCAATGTTACATGTTTGTATTTTATCTTAATTTGTAAAATGTAAGAGCCAATAAAAAAAAGGATTAGCAATACCACTCATTTAACTTTTATGAATATTTTACCAAAATTGGGTTATAACTGGGAAAGATAATTAAATTGTGTGTAAGAACTGGAGATTGGGTCCAGGATCTTTTGTACGTAATGATAAATTTTTCAGAGATATGTGAGCAAAGGGAGACCTGAAAATTGCTAAATGGTACCAAAAAAATTTAAACATTTTTCATTCTGCATTAACAATGACACTGCAAATTTGGTAAACAGTTATGGTTTGGGAACAAAAACTTTTTTTCTGATTTCAATATGTTGTTGTATTTTTGTTATTGAAGGTCCACTTCAGGATTCAGCCATTTGGATTGATGAATCACAAACCGTCAATGTTCGTCGACTACACACACAACTTCCTCTGTTTTCTAAAGATGATGATGATCCACTTGGAATTTCAGATGAAGGCATTCAGTAAGTACTCCTAAGCTATCTTGTATACACATTTAGTGATTAAATCTGTTCAAGGTTTTAGCCATTCATCATAAATTAATTTGAAAAATGAGAAAGACATCAAAATTTGCTTGAAAGATTTCATACATATATAGCACTCTGGTAAATGTAGTAATAGTATTTGACTTGATGGTTTTACTTCAAAGAATAACTGTACAGGATACCGATGCCCCCGCTTCTACTGAAACAATTACATACCAAGATAGGTAAATAAACGACAGACAATGTCAGTGTTAGACTTGCATGATAGAAGATCAGTTCTATTTTAATTCCAATAACTGTTCAAAACTCTTTCTTACAGGATCTTAAATTCCAAAATGTAATAATAAGCATGTGTTCATTCTAGGGATGGCAATTGGTAATGAGTTAACCATTTACCCAGTCAGATAAATTAATTGAATGCAAATTCTGTAAATTCATTATTTTAAAAAAAGTGTGTGTAGTTGAATAAAATTTCTTTAAAACCTATGCAGTATTCCATAAAAATTAGGCAAGTCACTGCTGAGAACTGTAAAGGTATTGTGTAAACTGCCTTCAATGTGTATCTTGTATGTGTATCCTCTGCAGTTATCAATCAAATTATATTTTTAACAAAAAAATGTTAATTATCTGGTACCGTAATTGATTGTTCTGATGATGGTGAAAATGCAGAT